CGGTGTCTGCGGGGGCCTCGGGCGGGTCGGGGGCGGTGTCTGCGGGGGCCGCGGGCGGGTAGGGGGCGGCCGAGCCCGCCTCTCCAGCGGCTGCTTCCGAGCTCTTCGCCTGAAACGGAAAAGTCACTGGTGAGGCACAGAACTTCCAAAAGTTCTTGCGGGGTCGGAGGTGGGGGTGGTCCTGGACACTTCGCTTTTTCCCTACTCGGACCCCAAGGAGGAGGATGGTGGAGCGCGCAGCCGGTGCAATCTAATGGAGGGGAGTCCGGGTATGGAGCCGCATCAGGGTTATTAGGTAGAAACAGAATATATTACGAGGAAGTTTAAGAATTAAAAGTCCCAGTTGGATTCAGTGGAGGGTCTTGGGGTAGTCGAGGTCTCTGCTGATTTGCAGGGCTGGAAGCCAGAGTGAGGGTGCCGGTTCAAGGGCCGAAACGGCCCCTGAGCTATGGAGGGAGGAGAGGCTCTGACCAGGAGGGAGCGAGCGCCACTAATGCTTCTGCAAACTGAGCCCACCCGCCTTTCCCACCCCAGTAACCAGGGCAGGGTGCTCCTGGGTAGATGAGAAAACCTCAAAACAAACAAGCCAAAGGCTTATGCACGTAGGAGTAGCTGTGGCCTGCCCACCTTTCTGGAAGGTCTCAAAGGTTAAGACCTCCCCGCACGCCCCAGGAAGAATGGGTGGGGTACTACCAGCATTAGGCTGGGCTGAGGCCCCCAGAAGTTTGGGGACTTGGTAGGTACCTCCAGCCTGCAGCCTTCAGGGTTCCTGCGGACACTGGCCATGTCTACATATCAAGAGGGAATTGGATGAAAAGCCAAGCCTTTGTGGGTACCCATGGTCCCTCCTGCCCTGCCTGACCCATATCTGCATGGAAAAAAACGGGAGTGGCTCCCAGAGGAGGCCCAAGTGGTCCAAAGCTGTCTGAGCCTCACTTGAGCTGGTGGTGGTGAAGTTAAAGGGAAAGCAGTCACCATGCTTGTGAGGAATAGATACCCCCTGAAGTTTGCTCCAGTCATAGGGTGGTGAAGGAAGGGGAGTGGGGTGGGGGGAGCCCAGACACTCCTAGAAACCAGGCAGCAAGAGCTGCGGCTCCCTGTCTAGTGTTTCTGCATGTTTTGGTGCACCTGTTCCACGCTCCCTTGTCCACCTGCAACTTGGAAAAGTCCAGGGCAGCATGCCTAGACTGTGCCCATCATAGGACCTTCGGAATCACCCACTATGAATGGAACCAGAAGAATCTTGGGAAGGTTGATCAAGTGCTTTGTGATGTTAGGCACGCTTCTATAAAAGGTGTCCACGGTATCCTGCCTCATCTCTGCAACCATGAGTTATCTGGTCTCAGAAAGCTTGAGAAGCTTCCCCAGGTCACAGAGATGGTGATGACAGAGCCAGGATTTGGGCCTGGGTCTTTGGATTGCTATTTAAGAGCTCCCTGCATTCTGCCACCCTGCCCTGGTTGTTCTAAAATTGCCTTTTATTAGAACTCTCATGCAAATTTAATTCACATCTCCAAGCTGCCAGGGTAAAGAGCTAACACTCAGAAGCAAGAAGCCCCATTTCACTGTACTGAGAACACTTTTGGTGGTCATGCCTGCTCAGCCCCACACAGCAGCCAAATTAAAGACCCCAGCTTGGTGGCGTGACCCTGTCCCAGGCAGTCTGTGAGCCAGGCTATCACATCTGTCCTCAATCTGGGGCTGTGAGTGGCTATAACTCAGAATGTTTTGGAAGCCCAGGTAGCTTTGATGTTACTCCCCAGACTCCTAGCAGATCATCCCAAGATGGGTTCCCCAGACTCTGACACCAGCCTGAATTGAGACTGAGTTCACTAGGCTTCTTTGAATTCTGTCATGTAGGCTGCTGCCAGCTCCCTGCCATTGAGTTCCTTCCTAACCCCCTTTCCCAGCAGCCTCCCCAGAGGACAGTCATGAACAGCCATAATTAGTACAGTCATTCTAATTGGCACTTTTGGCATTAGTCACAGAAAAATAAAGTCTCAGAACTAATTTTTCAATTCCCTTTAGATTTATGGGGGCAATTGGCACCATGCCCACTGGCAGGCCTTTTCCTTTCAAATCTTTTAAACTGACACAGACAGAATATTAAAAATGAGAACATCACTACCACTTGGGAAGGGACATGCCCTGCCCACACCCACTGCTCCTACCTCTGCAACAGCACCCAGCCTTCCCATAGATCGCACCCCTACTCTCAGTCCAGAGGTGGGTGGGTGAGCCAGGCCTCCCCAGAGCGTCCCGTTGAATGGCTCAGGAATTGACACGTGACCCGTCCTATCCAATAACAGTGAGCCCTGGGACTTATGCTGGAATTACTGGGAAAGTGGCACTTTCTGTTGGAGTTGCTAAACCAGGAGGAGGTAATCCTAGAGCTCTGCCTGCCTGGGAATGGAGCCATCCCTGTGGGAAAGCAGAAGCAACGGAATGGCAAAACTAGTCCTGTTGTTGTCACCGGAGCCTTTGATCCAGGCTTGCCCGAACTTTTCACTGGTTGACCCAATAAAATCCCTGTGTGTGTGGTTTTGTTTTGTTTTTTTTTCAAGCTAATTTGAGTTTACACTGACTTGCATTTATGGTACTTGCCCCCAAATGAGTCCTGAGCGATAGAAAGGAGGGAGGGAAATTCCTACAGCCTCACGTCCATTGGGTTCGGCCCACTCCCTGAGGCGTGGCAGAGACGCATGGGTGGTGGGCTCCCAACTGCGTTACCTGTTCCAGCAGCTGTTGCTGTCTCGCAGCCGCCTCCAGCGCGGCCAGCTCTCTCAGTCGAGCCCTGAGGTGGGCGAGCTTGCCGCCTTTTGCCCCTTTGGCCCCCATCTTCCCCGCTGCAGCCAGGGCAGCACTGAAGAGCTTGGGGGTGCCGGCCCGGAGAGGAAGGATGAGCACACTCTTCTGTTCCTTGGGCTTGTTGTTATTTCTCAGCATGCGCCTGAAAGAAAGCGAGTCCGCTAACGTCCCAGGCAAGAAGAAAGGCTCGTGTGCTTAGGGACCTTTCAAGCAGGAGCTCTGTCCTGAGGGTTGTTTTGGCCAACAGTTTCGGTTTCTGAGAGCGTTTTCTGGACCAAGCACAGCGCTAAGGGCTTTATGCATGCATCTTACTGAATGATCAGCACAACCGTAATGACCCGGGTCTTATCGTCTGAACTATATAGATGAAGAAACAGAGGCTCAGAGGGGTTGAGTAACTTTTACGAGGTCACACAGCAAATACTGAAGGATACCTGAATATATGGAATCAAAAACAGGATGCCCGGCTGGAAAAGGCCCCAAAGCTTTTTGCTTCTCCTTCTCCTCTTGCATCTTCTCCTACCACCATCATCATCACCAGCACCACCAACTCTATGTGTCAGGCCCTGTGCTCAGTACTTTACAGGCACTTTTGGTGGGCCCTATGATCTCCCTTCTTGGTGTTCATGCCTCTGTGTGATCCTGTCTCCTTGAGGGTGAGTGGGATGTGCAACTTGCTTCCAGTCAATAGCCTATTGCAAGGGTGATGGAATCTCACTTTTTGGAATATGTCACATGGGACTGTGATCTCTGTCTTGCAAGGAGACGTTCTCCCTTGCTGGCTTTGATGAAATAAGTGGCCATGTTGGGAGAGGCCCATGTGGCCAAAACCTGAGGGCAGCCATCAGTCAACAACTAGCTAGGAACTGAGGCCCCCAGTCCTACAACCTCAGGAACTGAATTCGGCCCCAAACCATGTGACCTTGGAAGCAGAGTCTTCCTGAGCCTACACTTTAGACGAGACCCAGCTCTGGCCAGCACCTTGATTACAGCCATGTAGCAGACCCACCTAACCTGTCCCCAGACTTCTGACCCATTGAAACTCTGAGATAATAAGTATGTATGATTTTGAGCCACTAAGTTTGTGATAACTGTTATGAAGCAATACATGACTGATACATACTCTGTCATTTAAAGCTCACAGAATCCTCACAGGGGAGTCCTATTATTTTCCCTCATTTCAAATGAAGATACAGAAGTCCAGAGAGGGTGAGTAAGTTTCCCAAGGCCACACAGCTTGGAAGTGTTAGAGGCAGAACTAAAACGCAAACCTACATATGCCAATAATATCGTAATAACTTTGTGTGGTGACAGATGGTACCTACACTCATTGTGATGAGCATTTTGTAATGTATGTAATTGTCAAATCACTGTGTTGTATTCATGAAACTAATAATTTATATAAACTATATTTCCATCAAAAAAAATGCAACATGTCAAAATGCTTCTCTAACTAAGGATAGATTCTTCCATCAAACAGAGCCCCAGTTTGTCATACAGACTTTTTCACACTACAAATATGTGATGAGTGGTTTGGCTCAAGAACAAATGAATTTCATCTGCGATCTAGTGGGCCTAGATTACAAATTGGCAAATTCATTTATCTGAGTTCCAGCAAAACTTGTTTGTTTAAAAATGAGGTCATTACTGGCTGCTTATCTAATCAGCGCAATGGATTTAAATTGTGCATACTGATATTAATTGCTCAAGACTTGCATTTTCTAGCTAGGGCTCTCCCAGGAGAACACAAACATGATAATTCATCGGAGGCTTCCTCCATGCCTGGCACTGTTGCCTGCATTATTTAAGTCCATAATTCACAGCATGACAATCTGCAGGAAGGCTCAGCATGGTATTAAAATGACACAAAGGAATGATCTATAGGACCTTTGCTGATTACTAATGGATGTCTCTGTTTTGAAACATTGAACTGGCTTCTGGGACATGTGCAGATTAAGGAAATTTATCCTCATTTTCAGATGATGTGTAATACCCTATTATTAGGATCAAACATTTGTCCCTGGAGAAAGAGACATGCATGAGATTTTTTTGCCCCATTTCTTGCAGCGGCCAAGCCAGAGAGCTGAGCACTTCACTTCTTTAGGGCCTCAGGTCCCCCATCTGTGAAGTGGGTTGCTCAGACAGAATCCTACACATGGGTCTCACCAACTCACATGTCCCCAGGCCCTGTGGTTTTCAGGCCACGTCTCTCCTTTGATGGACAGAGCTTGTATGTGATCCCCTGCCTCTCTCCTCCAGCTTGCCTGCCCAGAGAACCAGCCTCTCTAGTGAATCATGCCCCGGCCCCTAGTCCCAGGGCTGCAGGGTCCATGGGCCCCTCCTCTCCCTCCGGCCAGTACCTCTGCCTTCTCCAGTGCTGCGCACAAATTCTCTGTACACTCCATCGGGAGCAAGGCTTCTGCAGAATCCTAGTTGATTCATCAAACCTTCACCTACCCAAGAGGAACTGATGACAGCTATAAGTGGGGCTTTCCTGAGCCTTGCTCCTCTTGCAGGGGAGTGGAAGAGAGAGTCAGTGGACCTGGTGCCAATTCCCAGACATAAACAGTCAGTTCTCGTTATTCACAGCAGTTAAGTTCTATAAAGTCCCTGCAAACACCGGGTTAGTGGCTGCTGAACTCTTGCTTCTAGGGGAAATACAGGCTTAGGTTTCTGCAAGCCTCTCGTTGCAACATTTTCATCAACTGATCAACACCTAATCTTGTCTTGTGTGTGTGTCTGCTTAAAGACATCTTATTTAACACATATTGTTGATTCATTAACATTGAACTCATGGCCAGGAGCTCTGTAACTTGTGCCTGAATGAAGCTTATTCCACATACACATTTTCTCCATAAGGCACATCCAGCCTTCTTGCCCTTAGGGACATGCCAACACTTCAGCACAACACGTGGGGGTCCTTTTAAATAGCAAAGTCATCAACAATCACAAAGATGTGGAAAACAGCACTAGACCATGAAAAGACACTTGTTTACAGCATGAGCTGAAACAAGAAGGCAGAGTGTCACCTTGTTCAGCTTCAGCTGGGAGCATGCACTTTGGGTGACTCCAATTTTTCACTGCTTGGCACATGTCACAAATTACTGTGAAAGTCCATGGGTATTGATTTGGGGTTACAAATAAATTTTAGTGAGTGGGTGAACTGCAAATATGTAATCCAAGAATAATGAGGATTGACTGTACCTCCCTGTTCCTCGGGACAGTAGGGGGAAGTGGGCAGCTTTTATGGGAGAAGTTTGGACAAACCAGCCTTTGGAAGGGCCCAGTGGCTTTTCTGAAGAGCAGGCAGGGCAGCTTCCTTCTGCAGGGGCCCCCAGCACCTTGTGTTTACTATGCTCAACACTAACACAACATCCACTCACCTGGAAGCTGCCAAAGGGGTCCTGTAAACACCTAAGTCACATCAAGTTGTTCCTCTCTACAAAACTCTCCATAGCTCCTGTCTTTCTCAGAATAAAACCCAAAGCCATTGTGAGGCTCCATTTACAAGGCCCTACCCATTTGCATCCCCTCGACTCCTCCCATCTCATGTCAAGCTACGCCCATTTTCCTTCACACACTCCACACACACTAAGCCTGAGGGTCTTTGCACATGCTGTTCTCTCTGCTTGGAGTGCTCTTCCCTGCAGGCAGTCCCCCAGCTTACTCCTTCATGCTGTGCAGGTCTCAGCTGAAATGCCACCTCCTCAGAATGGATTTTCCCAACCACCTTATCTCAAATAGTTCCTTCTATCACCTCTGTCAACTCCTGTGGTCTCATGTTTCCCTACAGCCCTAATCCCCAGCTGACACATCACATAAGCATTCGTTTTTCCATTTTTAGTCTCCCCGACTAGAATGGAGGCTTTGTTTGGTCCCAGCTGTGTCCCCAGGACCTCTAACTATGCACTCAATAAATTATTGTGTTGGATGAATGGGTGTTTGCTAAGTTTGTTCCCTTTATCGTGACCACTCTCTATGCAGTAGATTTATGGTGTGATTTCATAGAAGGAAGTGGAAAATAAGAATATTTGATAAAAAGCAGGGGAGGAAAAGCCAGATATGTAGATTAAAAAGCCTTTATCCAAAAAAAAAAAGTCTTTATCCAATGGAAAAATTATAGAGAGAACTTAATGGAATAGGAACAATTATTATTATGAACATTTATTGAGCCCTTCCATATGCCAGGTATCCTGCTGGAGGCATTCACACACACTATTTTATTTAATCTCCTCAACAGCAAAGTAGTAGTTATTACCCTTATTTTATGTAAATACATAAACAACTGATACCAGAAAAGTTAAGTAACTTTGCCAAGGTCACACAGCCAGTACCTCACGTGGGTAGGGTGTTAGCCCCATCAGCCTCCCAAGTCTACTGTGGGTTTCTACCACACCATGCTGCCTCTATCACTCCATTTAAAACCTGATCTTAAGGATTCGAAAGCAAAAACCTTCTTTTCAAAAAGAAGTTGCCTATCCCCCAAATACAAAGTACAGATGTATGAGGTTATTCATGGCAGCACCATTTAAAATCGCAAATTATTGGCAATAGCCTAATGCCCATTTATAGAAATGTTTTGCAACTGTCCAAAGAAGTGAGGCAGTTGTCTGTGGGTGAGACAGAGAACGTTTTCCAGGACTTGTCACATAATAACAACAACGTGTAAAAATCAGTCTACCATGTACCACCTTTGGTGCAAGACTGAAAATGAAATAAGAACATGTTTGTGGATCTACCTGCTTTTGCAAAAGGAAACACAAGAAAGAAAAAGTAGACCCCAACGAGATGGGTTCCCACAGCCAATCGGGCAACAGGCAGGGGAGCTGGGACACTGCCTGAGAACACAGTTTTGTAGTAGCTTGGCTTTTGATACCATGTTAACGTTCTGCATTTTCCAAACAAAACAAAAAAATCAACAAGGATCAGGTGGGAGGGAACCTTGTAAAAATGGAATGCAAACTGAAACACATGAACTGGAGTGTATTTCAAATGAATAAGACAACCGCAGAGGCAGGAGGAAAATGAGAACGAATCCAAATGACTGAACACAGCACTTACCTCCTAGGCACTCAGGCTAATGACAAAAAGAATTATGAATTCTGCACCAAATAATGAAATCTACCTAGAAGGATATTTCCCCCAGTGGTATGGGATAGTAATTCTGAACCTACTTTCTCTATATTATAGGTCTGAACAGATGAATAAATGTAATGGGGATAAAGAGAGCCAGTTTCTCAGTGTTGGTGAAGGAATTTACAAATATGGAAAAGGAGAAGACTAGAATGAACTCTGAGGTGTTGGACTGAAATTGTTAGATAAATTTGGATACAGACAGAAAAACAGATGCTCATATATAGATAGAGAGAGATAGGTAGATATGTCTAGACAGATAGATGGAGATTTGGGATGACATAACTACTGTTTCATATTGTATTTCCTGATCTTGACAAGGGAACTATGATTATAAGAAAGCCTCAGTCCTTAAGAAATGCACACTTAAGTATATGTAGGAATTTTTAATAAAAAAAATATATACCTGGCCTTCTTCCGGAGTAACTTTTGAGACTCAGGATAATGCACCAAAATTTCGTTCAGGTCCTTCTTATCCAGAATGAAGAGGTTGGTAAACCCGTGGGCCACCACGTTGGCCGTGCGCCGATTCCCACCCCCGACGGCCAGCAAGCTTGGGGGAATAAAAGAGGGAGGTGAGACCCACCGGACGCTGCAGCTCCGAGCACCTTAAAATCTGCCCTTCAGCCCCCTGCATGGAGCACAGCGGCGGCCCCATGCAGGTAAGAGCGCACCCCTCCCCCCAGCTCTTCCCCACGTCTCATATGTCAGCTGCATCCACCTGGGTTTCCTCAGACACCCCAAGCACCCTGGAAGATGAGGCCCCGCCCACTGGCCACCCCTCTCCCCAGCCTTGGTCCAGATCCCCTCCTTTTAAGCCAGCTCCCCTCTGACCTTATTTCTCCAAACACAGATCCAGCTTTCAGCGTCACCAGCACAGACTTCCCATCGGGGCCACCCAAGACCCGCACCTGTCCCGCCTGGATGATGTACATCTCCCGGCCTATCTCTCCCTGAAACAGAGAAGGGGCAGGTCCCTCTGCCACCGCCAGAAGTGACCACAGAACCCAGAGGCTGGCAGTGTGGTGCAGAGGAACTGGGCTGGGGTCCAGCCATGCCACCAACTTGCTGTGTGATGTGGAGCCAGTCACTTCTCCTCCAGGGCCTCAGTCTCCTCATCTGTGGACTGGGGAGGGTGACCACCCCAGGCCTGCCCATCTGGAAAGGTTACTGTGGGGAGTTAGTAGTGTGATGGCAAGGAAAGGGCTGGATAAGCTAGGGCTGGAGGTGCAGGTGTCTGCAGGTATGCTGCATATTCCCAATTATACACACCGCGGGGGCCCAGAGGCATGGAACATCTAAGTTGTTCATACAGTAAGCTGACATCTGTTCCTAGCACATACCACATCAGGAGCTCAGTGTTTGCTTACAAAAAATAACATCCAGCACTTTTGTACCACTTCTCTGTGGCAGGTACTGTTCTAAGGGCTTGATGTGGCAGAGCCTGCTTAATTCTCAACAGCCCCTTGAAGTAGGAACTCTGCCCAAGGTCACAAAGCTTGGCCCAGGCAGAGCTGGGATTTGAACCCAGACAGTCTGGTTCCAGAGTTCATGGTTGATATGGGTGAATTGCGTCTCCCCCCACCAACCTCCATCATTCATACGTTGAAGTCCTAACCCCCAGTTCCTCAGAATGTGACCTTGTTTGGAAATGGGGGTCAGTGCAGATGTAATTAGTTAAATGAAGATGAGACCATACTGGAGTGGGATGAGTCCCTAGTCCAAATTAACTGGTGTCCTTATAAAAGGGCCATTTGGTGAGCATGTAGCACAGAGGCAGGCATAGAGGAAAGATGATGCGAAGAGAGACACAGGGAGAAGACAGTCTTCCGTAAGCCAAGGAAAGAAGCCTGAGCAGATCGTTCCCTGTGGACTGCAGTCAGAAATACCCAGTCTGCCCACACCTTCCAGTCCACATGCTCTCACAGGCCCCTGCCCTGCTACCTGTTGGTCACACCTGGCGTGTTTAAAGGGAGAGAGACCGAGGACAGGTACTTCAATTACACTTTTGATTCCCTGGACAAACATTTCCGGGGCATCTCGCACATGCATGACCTTGCTAACAAAAAGGGAGAGGATTTCTGCGTCCAATTGGACACAGGGCCAAGGTATAAGGAGTTGAGAGAGCTCTCACCTCAGCACCAGGAGTCTCAGCAAGATCGTTGTAGTGCAAAACTGGACAGCAGGGGGCGCCATTCCCACATGCTTACCAAGGGCTCACTTCACAACTTCAACTGCCAACTCCACAACCTGACCCACTCTTCCTCATCTGAGCAAATCCTACGTGCCTCCCAGGGATGAGAGCAGCAGCGAGGGCACCTGCTCTGTGCCAGGCACGGTAACGAACTCCGTGTGCGGCGCTCAGTTCTCCCAACCACCCACCAGGGAGGCCCTTTCAACATCCCTCTTTCACCTGTGGAAGAGAGTCAGAGAGGGCAAGCCACGTCCCTAAGGCTGCACAGCTAGAAAGTAGCTGCAATGTCACACAAATCACTCTGTTGTTCCCCAACCCCTGTTGGCTTCTAAAAGGGGTTTAAATTCTCAGCCATCAGCAGTATTATTTTCCCCCTTCCCCCAGCTTTCTGCTAGAAACTGCTAGAAACTTCACTGCTGCACAGCATACAACTTGGAGACAGGGATGTTCTTGGACTGGAGGTTCCTGAGTCTTACAGGGGTTGCTTGGGCAATATTTTCACTCTGTACACACCCCAGACTTAACAGCTCTGTCCCAAGAGAACTGAAATCTGGTTCCTGCTCCCCCACCCTGACCACTCACAAACCAGGTGACCTTAGTCTTACCTTGAACCCCAAAGAGTGGGAGCAAATAGGGCCCTAGACACTGCCTAGCCCCAGGATTCAAACCCAAATGTTTTCCAGGATCAGGTGGGTGATGCAAAGGAGTGAAGGAAGCTGGTGGGGGACAGTGGGGAGTGGTGGGGCCTGTGGCACCAAGAGGGAGCGTGATATCTCCCTTCAGGGGCAGCCCTTTTCCATTCCAGTTGACTCTTGCTATTTGTGAAAATGGGGCTCATTACTAGCAGATTCAGACAGAAATCTAGGTTTTTAATGTGAAAAAATTAAAAAGTCCAACAAAACACTTATGGGTTGGCTCCTATGCAATGGCCATCAGTTGGCAAACTCTGACCTACCCACCCCTTCTCCCACCCATTTTTCTTATGGGAAGACCAAGACTCTAGAAACAGTTCTATCTACACAGTGCAGGCCCTGCCCCTCTCTGGGTACTTTTCTGCAAAGTGGGGTTCCTCACGCTGGCCCCATGGTCCCATGTTGAGGGAACAAAGTTCAATGTCTGGAGCTGGAAGAAGCTTCCTCAGGCCAAAAAAGCTGCAGCCCTGGGGTGGGCTTATTCGTGCATGGGGCTGTGTTGTTCTGTAAACCTCCCTTGGCTTTCAAAGGCACCCTGCAGGGGGCTGTGAATCCCAGACCACATTGCAGCTGCCAAGGCCTCACCTTCTTGCACACGTAGTCATTGGGCAGGTAGACGACAGAGCGAAGCCTCTTCAGCATGTCAAAGATCATCTGTCTGTCACAGCCCTGTACCCAAGAGGAGAGGAAAGGAGCCCCCATTTAGAGAAAGGTGTGGGCTCGGGTCCTCTCAGAGGGTGAGGGCGATGGGCAGGCTGTACCTGGAAGAGTGCCACTTTGCTGACAATGTCATAGTTTACGTCGATGGCGAGGTCCAGCCGCATCTTGTCTGGGAGTTGCACCATCAGCTCTGACTCATCTGCAAATGAGAGTCTGGCAAGGGTCAGGGACACAGCCAGGCCCCTCCCCCACAAACACAGGGGTCAAGTCCATACTGCAATGGCTGACGCCCCCCATGCCATCCCTCTGCCACCCAGAACCACTCTAGATTAGGAGAGTGGTGCACAAGGGTGCACTCCCTCTGCCAAGAGCACCCTTGTGCACATCCCCGGCTAACTCCTACTCATTCTTCAGAACCCAGCACTAAGATCACCTCCTCCAGGAGGCCTTCCCTGGGGATCCCCCACCCAGCTATTATGTTAGTGGTCCTTGTGCTGTAGCACTTATCACACCCTTCACTGCAGCTGCGCGTTATGATCTGTCCTCCCTACTTACACTGTAAGAATAGCAGCAAGAACAGAACTAAATTGAACACTGCTTTTACAGAGTGCTATACAAGGATGCTTTTAGTAAGTCCTCCTGGAAGTCCAAAATGTGCCCACTACTATAATTCTCACTTTATAGACAAGGAAAGGGAAGCTCAGGAGGGCAGTAACTTGCCTATGGCCACACAGCCCAGGGGATGGAATCAGAATCCCACCCAGGCTGTGGGGCTGTAAGGCCTGTCCCAGGAGAGCAGGGGCCCAGTCTTTTTTGCTCACCATGCAGTCTGTGGTGTCCAACAGAAAGGCTGGCATGACCTAAGCATGACCCTGATGCCCCTCCCACTGCAACACAATTATTTACGGGCTCAAGGGCTGGTCTGTATGACCCTAGGCAGGTCAGAGCCCTCATTTGTCGTGAACATGTGCCCCTCTGAGAGGGGCAACAATATAGATGTCACAAGGCTGTCAACTGGAACGGGGTGAGGCCATGGATGTGAACGTGCCTTGTAAACGGTGGAGTCACTCACAATGGATAAAGGTGAAGACCCTACCACTCATTGTCCACACACCTGCACACACCCCCAGCTCAGGTGACCTGGGTGGGGGGCTACAGCATGGCTTCTTTGAGACCAGAGGGAGCCCCACGGAGGCATGGGGGTTGTGGGGTTTCATTTGGCTGAGGGAATTGGGGAGCTGTGAGGCACACGCACTGCCAGTGGCCTGCAGGCTTTTCAGGGGCCTCCAAGATGAAGCCTAGGCTCTGACAAGAGAATTACTAGCAACCACAGATTAAAAAAAAGAAACTGAAAAAAATAAAATAAAATGAATGAACATGTAATTATTAGCATATTCAGATTCCATTAAGGATCCATTTAGAATCCATGAAAACTTTATTGCATTTAGAAACTATGCACAGGTAAGAATCTCTCATTTTGCAAGGATTACTGAGCATATCCCGTCATGGCCAAGAAAGCAGAAAAAATGCTAAGTTAAATGCATCATTGTAGCCAAACAATTTCAGAAGTGAAGTATAACATTTAAACATTTACAAATTCTATATATATGCCTACATGTATATATATGGGAAGAGAGGAGGAGAGGAGAGACAGGGAGTCATCCTTCTCTCCTGATTTCAATTGTACTTCCCTCTCCCATGGGGATGTGTTTCAAGGTGATGAAGGGAGGTGGGGCAGGGCACCCAGAGGACAAGCCCCTCCATCTCCAGAGCTCCCCTGACAGCCCAGCCCCGCTAGGCTCCTCTCACTGAAATGGTGGAGCTGCAGCCAAGAGAGGCCTCCGTGCTTGGGGCTGCAGGGACACAGGACGTGGCAGGGCCCAGTAGTGTGTGGTGGAGCTGGTGGCTTGGCACCGTTCTTACCCAGCATGCCTTGGGAGTGCCAGGTATATTCGTACCAGGTCTTGACCCGGTTCTGCACGGACCTAGGGATCTTGTAGAAATTCATGTACTTCACTGTGCTGTCCATGCAGCTGCGGTAGTAGGACTGTCCGGCGGTGGCGGCCCCCACCACGTCTCTCATCTGGGGGCAAAAGGGGGTGAATCAAGGGTCAGAGTAGAGCCATTAAATGGGCTTTGGGGACATATGTCATGGGCACCCATTTTCCATACACAGAGAAGGTGTTGGTGATGGGGAACGTTTGCCTTTAGCATGGATTGAGGCAGGAGGGAGGCTGCTGGCCCTTCCGGTGGTCTCAGGTTCCTGAAGCCACACAAGGAGTAACTGCCTTGCTGGGCTGGACTGATTCTGGTACAATATGGCCTCTTGGTGCCAGAGCCCACTTGGACCCCTCTGGGGCAATATGAACCTGATGTATTGCTCCTTGGGGGGGGCCTTTCAGAGGTAGTTCTGAGGACCACTGATTGTCCCCTCTTGCTCTGACTAGAATATAAGATGTGCCACCAGCATATTAAAAGCCCACAGGGGTTTCTCTCCAAAGGAACAGCCCAAATCCCCAGCCCTGGCAGAAAGCCATTCAGCCCAGCTTTCCAAGGCATCCCAAAGGGATCGACATTTCAAAGGGAAGCAACTTCACAACGGGAATGGGCCCCAGACCACCAGCCCCTTCACCCAGCAGGTCCCAGTGCTCCAGGTTCCTGAGTCTAGGTCTAGGCCTCTTTCTGGGCCTTAGTCCAAAAGGAATGGGCACAGATGCCAACATTTCTGGCAGCAGTGGGAGGGAGCAGAGCCCTGCAGGGGTGGATAAGAAGCCAGACAAGCAACCCAGCTACCTGTCCAATCATCACGGAGAAAGCGAAGACACCTGTGAAATAGTTCAGCAGCTGGAAGACAATTTCAAAGAGTGTCTGGGGGTCGGGCAGCCCACCAATGGTGATGAGGGTCTTCACAGCCCAGTAGTAACAGCGAACATAACTAGGGAGAGAAGAGAAAGGGGCCTCAGTCATCGCAGGCCCCAGCCAGCCAGCCCTGGGTGGCCTGGCTCTGATGTGCGCTGTGCAAAAGAGAAAACCCTTTACAGCTCGTAAGTGCAAGGAAACCTACCTCTTGCACCCATAGGGCACTCTGACCATAGGGCACATATTGTCATCCCCATGTACAGGTGTGGAAACTGAGGCTCCAGGAGATTGCTAGGAAGAGTTGGCAGGAGGATAGACCAGGGTCTTCCGACTCCTAATTCCTGGTCTCTCTCAGTTTCCCTCAGTCTCACGTGGATATCATGGAGAGCAAGAGCAACATCAAAGTTGGAAGATATCTTAAGGACCACCTTTTCTGATCTTCCCCTTTGCCCATCACTTTCCAGATAGTGATAGTAAGGCCCCCAAAAAGATAGGAAACACCCGTAGCCACCAGCTGCCAGGTGCCAGAGCTGAGATTAGAATCCAGGGGGTCATCTGCTTCTCTGGGCTGTCCCCCTATCATTGGTAAGCCCTTGCTTGACACAGGAGTGTGAACGATTGAGAAGGAAGGTATGGGTGATGAGGTCCTACTGAGTGGTTAAAGTCACAGGAAATGCCCTAAGCTTGTCTCATTGTCACAAAGAAGCAAGAATCCCTCATACACTTGTTCACACCTTCAGGCTGCGCTCCCAGGGGTCAGCAAAGAGTAAGGTCAAGACAGAGCAATCCCAGACAGCTTTCCTGTGCCTTCCTGTCCTCTTACTGATGTGGCACACAGGAGCCACATTAGTCTTCTGATGTATCCACACTTTCAGGGTCCCTGCTTAGCAGTGAAATCAAGAACATATCTGGTTGGCCAATCATCCTGTCTGAGAATGACCCAAAACTGGTTCTCCCCTGTCAAAGCGTTCCCTGTCACTGGTGCCTGCCAAGGGCCTTGAATGGGGGAGCAGTAGACTCCTCTGTGTCCTCAAGAAGCTCACCATCTATAAGGGATAGGCAAGTAAACATGCAGTGAGCACTGGGGCAGGGCTCTCGGCTGCCCTGCACCTCATTATGGCTTCATGCATGGAAATCTCAGGACAACAGGCCTGCCCTTCAAACCCCAGCCATACCGGTTATAACCACTAGAGTGCGCACAAAGCAGCTCTAGCGGGGCTAAGCTGGGCACTATCTAGGAGCTGGGTGCTATCTAGGAGCTGGGTGTGGGTGCTGCACAAAGGAGACAGGAGATATGTCCGCAGACCTCTGGTTTTCCCCCAAACCTTTCTTGGTTTGCGAAATGGTCCATTGGGATGGCGCATCTTAGGGGCCTCCCTGAAGTCCTTGTGTCTTCCCTGGTACTGGGTCTGTGGGGATCCTGCATACCCGAGGATGAGCAGAAGCAGAGCAGGGTGAGGGACCCAGATATGTGGAAACTTGGGTCCTCAAGCGCCTGGCCCACAGCAGGCATTCAACAAATGGTCACTATTTTTAAAGTTATCATTATCCATGATATTGGACTTTTGGAGGAATCCTCCTTTACATTTGTGCTTTTTTACATATATTGAGATTCTCTGCACAACTGCATTTGGAAAACAGTAGTAATGACAGGCCAAGAAAGTGTGCCCCTCCACTGCTGAGCAGCAAGAGCTCCCGAGGGCCCTGCAGGAGGAAGTCCCAGACAGCCATTCCTGTCCTCCAGTCCTCCACCTGCCATTCCCTCCCAGGCCTGTCTGCCATGGTGTGCCAGGCCCAGCCCCAGGATGCAGGTTCTCGGCTTCTTGGGGCACATTCCCCTTTGAGGATCTAAGGAAAGCTAGGAATCTCTCCTTAGAAAAGCCAGCATGTCCTCAAAATTTAGCTCCAATTTCTAGGGTGAATTGTGATTTCCTTAAATCTCTGGATCCCAGGTGAGGGACCCTTTTCCTGGCATGCTGGTTTCCCCACAAGAATGTCATTAGCTAGGAAGTGGGGTCATTGACACGTGCCTGGAATGTAATGCTGCCCCCATTTTGTAGATAAGAACATTGAGTATCAGAAAAGGTAAAGGCCTTATCCAAGGCCACAAAACAAGATTTAATGAATAGCTTCTGTCCTTCTCTTTGCTTAGAAGGGGACTTTTTGTCATCTTTCTGCCCCCTTGTGAGGGGTGGATGGATGAATGAGTGGTCTAGTTATGGGCCTGGGAGCAGGGCTGTAGAGAGGTCTGGCTGAGGGAACAGAGAGTGGGTCCACTGGGGCTTTGGGGTGTCAAGCCCTGACCCCATCTCTACATGCTTTACCCCTAATCACATGCCAGGCCTCTCCTCCTGCCTGCCCGGGCTGCTCTGGACACCGAGACATATCTATACAGGTGTGGTTCCCCTCAGGCCACAGGCCTATTGTAGAAGGTGGCTAACAGTGATGGCCACTGTGGCCCACACTGTGTCCCCAAAGGGGACATTCTGGACAAACAACCATGCTACAAAGAGGCCACACTGGACATGACCTCCTGTTCCAGTGCCAACTGGAAGCAAGTGCATGAAGGAGGTCAGTGTCAACAGCTGGACTAGTGAGTGGTCACCATCCATCACGAGGCAGGGCTCCCCTGAGGTGACTAAACGACCCCTGGACTCCTCCTCCACCTCTTCATCACCGCAGCGGACCTTGCGCCCCCTGTGGTCTGGCAGTGGGCCAGTGACTCAGCTGCATGGCAGATGCCTCACACTTACACCTCTTCAAGCTGTGGGTGAAGAGTCCCATTTTGCAGGTCAGGAAACTGGGGCCTAAAGAAGAGACATGAGCTGTCCACTGCCAGCAGGTGGTGGCTCTAGGAGTCATAGCCTGTGCTTTGACTCTCCAGACTCATCCCCAATCTTGACCCCACATTCTTCGCACCTCCTTCCAGCACTGTCCACCCTCCCCCTATTCACAAAACCCTCTGTCTTGGCCTTTTTGTTGCTCGAAGAGGCAAGCGAAGGTCCTCCTAACTGGTTTCTCTGCTTCCTGCCTGTCCTCCCAGTCAACCCCTCCATGACTGGTGATTGCCAGGCAGCTGTGCCAAGAAGTATGCTCCGGCCCCTTTCCCACCCAGCCGTGCCCGTGGTGCACAGGAGCGCACGCACATGGCCAGTGAGTTTGCCAACTCTACTAGACTTTGGGAGGCAGGAAGGATCTTTCTAGCAGGTCTTGTTCAAGTCTGTACCCATTCTACCTGGCACATGGCAGGTGCCCAGGAAATGTTAGCCTAGTGAGGACATGGAGACATGGCCCTCCAGCCTTACCATGTCAGTGATTCCTTGGGAGCAAGGTGGCCTCGGCAGCATGGCTGCAAGGGGATGTCTTTCCAGGAGGGTTTGAACCCTTGAATTATGGTCCCAGGAGGAAGACTGTGTCTCACCTGTTTCCCACGCCATCATAAACCCAGTGAGTGGAGCCGATGCCCTGATAGGCTGACGCCCAGTAATACAGACATGAGTTCAAGTGTAAACTGTAGAGCAAGTAGGCTGTGGTCCTGATAACCCTGCATAAGAAAGAAAAGCATGAATACAGCTGCAGAAAGGTGACTATGACATCTTGTCTCAGGGGTGGGGACTACAGGGAATAAGCCAATCTTAACCCCCTGATGCCCACCCATTAGAGCCTCATGGCCCTGCCCAGCTGCCTGGCAGGATAGACACCTGGCCAATGGGAACCAGCCTGTGGCTGGGTGGTAGCATTCCAATGGAAAGTTGTCAAGAGCAGAAGCTGGAATTGGCCCAGAGCTACGTGAGCAGACAGTTCTGGGGCAGCAGAGGAGCCAGAGTGGGGACTATATCCATGGGGTATATGGAGGGAAGGGATATATGTCTGCAGAGAAGTACTGCTCCTTGAGAGATATGGGAAGGAGCTTGTCCCTGAGCTTGGCCTCACTCATCTTGTGTCCCATCCTTGGACATCTGCGAGACAGCCCACTGTGTCCTCACAACTGCTCCCTTTAGGTTTGAGCAGTTGTGGAGACAGTTCCTTGAGCTGAGACAAAATGAGGCCCAGCTCCCTGGAAATGCTGGTTAGCCGTGCATGTCAACCTACATGTGCCCTCCTGACAATTGGGGGAAATGGACATTCCTGGTTCTCTAAAACACAAACATCCCTTCAGAGGAGGGCCAGGAAGAGGCCTGGCTTCCGGTGGTGATAGGCCTGCAGGCCTGAGGAGTTTCAAAGGGGAAGCGACGTGGGTAGAGAATGCCTTGTTCCACTCTTGCTGCAACTGTCCTATGTCATGTGTGGGTGTGTGTTTGCATATGTGTGTGTGTGTGTGTGTGTGTGTGTGTGTGTAGCAGGTCTCACCTGTAAACGTAGGCTTTGCTGAGGATGGCTTCCAGGCGGTTGTTAAACTCAAAGAAGGCCATGTACTGGGAGAAAGAGCAAAGCATCAGGGATAGTCCACTGTCCATGTGTGCACACCGCCCTCACCTCCCCAGCCCATTCCCCAGGACTGCAGGTTCTTTCAGCAGCCCCTGGTAGGAAGGGGTTGGAGAGTAAACATGCAAACTCAGAGGTCCTTAGCCCTTTGGGGTGGGGGTAGGGGGCACCAGAAACTCCAGTTAAAAATCTGTTGAAAGCCAGTGTAGCACAGAGAAGGCACATAGTGGATCTCTGGTATCTTGCTGCACTGATGGACAGTGACTGCATTGGGGTATGGGTGGGGACTTGATAATATGGGTAAATGTAGTAACCACATTGTTTTTTCATGTGAAACCGTCATAAGAGTGTATAGCAATCATACCTTAATATAAATAAATAAATAAATAAATAATCTGTTGAAAGCCACAATCAATTAGACATCACATATAATCATGTTCTCACAGCTTGCATATAACTTCAGGGCACTCCTAGACCCTCTGAGTCCTATCATGAAACTGTTAGGGGTACATGCATATTCAGGTTAAGGACTTTGCTTTCAGTGTTCACTTATAAAGAAAACAATTTTGTAAAGAAACAACATCCCTAACACCTTCACTTATACCCTTCAAAGGCTTATTTATAATAATAAAAGTATAATAACAACTGCCCTCCTTTACTGTACACCTTTGATGAGTGCACTTTATATGCGTTCCCTTATATTTATTTACACGGGAAGTGTGTATTATTATTCTCCTTTTACAGAGGAAACTGGCACTCAGGGAAGTTTGGTAACTTGCTCAAAGCACACAGCAGGCAAGTGACAGAGCCAGGATTCCAACCAAGATAGAACTCAGAATTGCAAGCTCTTTTAATTATGCTACACTGCCCCTAGATCTCCGCACAGGGTTGTTTGACATTTGAAAATAACAGTGATGAAGATTCCCTAAGGGATATGATAGCTATTATTCTGGTGCTCATTCTAATTGCCATCCTGAGTTTGCAGTGGGTGCAGAAGGCCCCTGGGCTTGGACCCCTCACCTTAGACTCAAAGAGTCTCATCCTCTGAGTTGTACTAAACGTTAGGTACCTGAGTTCTGCATGCCCACTACCACCAAGTGAACCAAGATATGGATCCTGCCTCTACATATGGGGTAAAACTTGACTTGAGGATCTAATCTTCCTCATGCCAGTGTCCAACTCTAAAGTGACCTTGCAGACCCCGGAGGCCAACATGTGTCAGATAGGACTGCTGCCACATTCAGTGTCCCCCTTCGTCTTGGCAGCCAAGAAGCTCAGAAGCAGCTTCTGTTTCCGCAAGATGTGCTCTCTTTTCATCAGGATACTTGCATTATTCCTGTTTTTCTCTGTCGTGTTTCTCTGGGTCACTAAGGTTATTGCATTTGCCTCTGTTGTAAGTTCCCTCATTTTCGTTTTGAGGGAAGAGGCATCAGGCGTCTTGTATGAGAGACATGAATTTAATCGCTCTTTCAGAAAAATCCATTTGGGGGATCCTGAGTGCTCTGACTGGCTGTCCACCCTGGTCACCTTAAAGGACTGTTGCCAGGTCTCCCCTTCACACTGTGTCGACCTCACTGGGACACCAGATCTGCCCCAGTGGATACTCAATGTCACTCAATGACACTGGATGACAGCCAGCAATGAGATGAGTGTCAGACTGCACATCCAAACTGGTCCCAGGCACTTCCTGGCTTCTGGGACCTTGTGCAAGTCACCCAAGCTTTCAAAGCCTCAGTTTCCCCATCTTTTAGATGGCGGGAGTCCCTCTGTTGATTCTCTCTAATTACTGGAATCATAGATAGTGGAGAGAGACTGCCTGGGTTCAAATTTGAACTCCACTCTTTCCTACCTGTGTGGCCTTAGGCAAGCTGCTTAACCTCTCTGTGCTTCAGCTTTCTCATTTGTAAAATGCTGGTATTAGCAACACCAGGGTTGAGGAATAAGCACTGTAAAACCTCCAGACTAATACCCAACCCCCAGCACCACCAAGAAGCACTAACATGGGTAAGGAACATCCCATCTCCCCTCTGGTCACCCCTCCCTGAGCTCCCCACCCCAGAGCTGCTTAGGGCAGACACTGAGATGCCAGTCCCTGTGCGGAGCATGGAGCTGCTGAAGGCCTTGATGGGAAAGCCCATTCGCCTTACCTTCAAACAGCGGGGCAAGCGCAGAAGGGGATTCACACCGAATTTCAAGTAGAGAAAGTCCAAGGGCAGGAGGCAGAGCATGTCCATCTAAAGTCCCAGTGGAAAACCACAGTGTATAAAACAGGTAACCCCAGGGCTCTGAGATGGGGTGAGGGATTGGGGTCTCTACCTTCAACGGAAAGGTGAGGTCAGAATGCCACCGGAGGACCGAACACAGAGCAGAAGGCATCCCACCAACAAGCCTCTGTTTAGCTACCCAGCCTGTGAGGGTCCTGGTGGGAACCTGTCCCACTGACCTCACAGCATCCAAGACCCCAGAGACACCATCTTCTCAGACCCCAAGGAAAGGTACCTTAAAGCGGCGAGATTTCAGGTAGTTATTGCGCATGTCCTTTTTGTCCGTCTGGAAAGAAATGGAATATGGTTGACCCTTGAACACTGAGGGCATTAGAGGTGCTGGCCCCCCTGGCACAGTTGAAAATCCATGTATGACTTTTGACTCCCAAAAACATAACCACCAATAGACAGCCTACTATTACAGAAGCCTTACTGATAACATAAATAGTCAATTAACACATTTTTTGTATGTTACATACATTATATAGTGTATTCTTACAATAAAGCAAGCTAGAGAAAAGGTTTTCTCAAATCGTCATACATCTCCAAAACTTTTTCTAATACACTGATTGAAAAAGAAATCTGCACATAAGTGGATCTTTGCAGTTCAAATCCACGTTGTTCAAGGGCCAGCTTACTGACCAAGAAATGGCAGGAGAGCCTATTCTGGGACCCCAGGGGAGCAGGGAGGGACATCGCCACAGAGCCTCTGCCTTCCTGTCAGGGTAACAGCCAGATCGGACTAGCTGAGCTTTGGGGACAGCCTCAGGGTCTACAGGTCTAGGGGTGGGGAGGTTGAGCCCTGAGGGGGAGGTAATTGCCTAAGATCACCCAGCCAGATTCTCTTGGATGGAAATAGAATATTGAGCTTATTCTGTCAGCATGTTGATCTTAACCTGGACCATTTGCAACCTTGTTACTGAGGAGGTGGCAACTGTTCTGATCAGGCCAGGAAAGAGGCTGCCCAGGGAAGTCTTTTTCCCCTAAATTGTTTAAGAGGCACAACTTCAACTTGCCTGTGCACAGAGGAGCAGGTGCCACAATGTGGAATTTTGGAAAGGGACTGTGCAAGGGTGATGGGGACTGGGCCTCCTGTATCTGCTGCATCACAGTCAGAATCAGGACTTCAGTTTCTTCCCAGGTCAGTGGGGCACCGGGTCTTAAACTGGTTCAAATAGTGTGCTTTTTGCAGGACCACCAGGAAATGTTGGTCACCAGCAGGTACTTGTGCTGATCATTCTGCATACATCATCTCAATCCATCCCCATAGCAATGCTATGAAGTGGGGATGATTACTATCCCCATTTTACAGATGAGGAAACTGAGGCTTAGACATGTGATACAGTTAGTTGTGATAGAGCTGGGATTTATACCAGGTCCACCTGCACTAAAAGCCATTCTCTGAACCACTTCCTCAGCTTTAATTCCATCAGGTGGTCTAGGAGCAATATTTCACCCATGAGCAGTATTTGATGTGTGTAATTTGAATACATCAAAGCAACTGTGTCATTGAACAAACAAGCATGGACCGATGTTTCTGAGATCTCCTTGTCCATGATCTTGTTGCCCATCATAGCACTGGGGGCCGGTCCGCTGAAGCCTCTGGCTACACATCTGCCCCTGGCCACCCTCTCTGCCTGCCTGAGACTCACAATGATGTCCCCTCCTCTGACAAACTGTAGGCGCATCTGGAACACGGTGATGTCCAGGAGGTAGACGAGGTCGCACAGGTAATCCATCAGCAGCCAAAGGTGGATATTGTCTGGTGTCTGGTAGGGGAAGGCCCAGCGCACAGGAATCAGCCAGCAGTTCCAATTCCAGGCCAGCACCACGAAGAACAGCCACAGGATGTACATCAGGTCTGTGGGGGAGCAAGGGGGCAGGAACATGCTAGACCCTCAGGCGGAGAAGGACTCCTTGCAGTAGGATTGGGGTGCGACTTTCTTCTTTCCACCTGCCTGTCGGCACTTCCCTACAACCACTGTCTGTGGCACTTCTGTAACAGCGGGATTGGTGGGTATGTGTATAACTATCTTTGATTTTAAAATAAATCACTGCTAAGCCCTAATAAATCAGAGTACTTTGAAGCGATAAGGGGGCATTATCAGATAATAGGCAGCCAACTAGAGAATACTTCGGCTTACATTCTTGTTGAAATTCTTCCAAAAATGCATTTTCTGCCTTAAATACACAATACACAATAGTAAATAATGCATAGGAGATGGACAGATGAATACACAGACACAGGGATGGATATACAGAGGGATGGAATACCAGAAGTCAACTGGTCATTTTAGAGGACCAGTGGACACTAGGGTTGGAGTCCTGCCCCCAAAAATGATTTCTTGTGTAACCTTGGGAAAGTTGTTCTCTGGCCTCTTCTCTTGGGTAATCACAAGGAGAGATTAAGTAGGAAAGGCAGGGAGGTCCTTCATAACCTCTAAGTTCTACACACATTTGAAGGGTTGTTATTCCTGAGGATTATAACATGGGCTAAAAAGGAAGTGAGACGGCCTTCACTTTAGATGTTGGAAGAACTTCTTCCTTTTTCTGCTCAGAGCAGCAGTTCTGGGAAGGAGCCAGACAGACAGAGTAGAAAAAAAGATTTGGCCAAGAGTCAGGAGTTCTGTGTCTGTCACTAACTAGTTGCCTTTCAGCCACTTAAGTTCTCTGTGCCTTATTTTCCTTGTCTGCAAGATGGATGTGATCATATATTCCTATTCCAGAGACTTTCATTTGCTTGGTTTGGGCCCACCCTTGCACTCCCACCCTTGCACTCCCCCTCCTCTGCCCATTTTCCTGCCCTCTCATACTATGTGGATTTCCCATGTGGTACTCACTGGTCAGTGGATCAATGCTCTGGGGAAACTGGTACTTCTTCCAGGGGCGGCGTTTGAACTTGCAACAGAGCATGTCACAGTAATGCTCCTCCTCCACCTGTCCCACCTCAGCTGGCTTCACTTCTGGGGCCGGTTCTGGGGCTTTCTTGGCTGGAGCTAGGGGATGACACTGGTGACCATCTGACCCAGCCTTGGGGCTCAGGTAGATGATACAGAGAGAAGGCCCCTGACTGTAGTAGACTCTGGAACTGGAGCTGAGGGGACCCCGGCACCATCCCCCAACCTGCTGAAAACTCTGTGTGTAGAAACCAGGAGCCAACCCCACAGCTCTTTAACAGCAGTCTGGGCACCCACCCAGAAATTTATCAGCTACAAATCTGGAACTGCTTCTCAGGGGCTGCTCAAATGAGGTGTTTCTGAGTGAGTTAGATGTTTCAGTTGAGTGTCTGCTGTGTGCCTGTTTGGTTCCCTCTGGAGGGTTGGGGGCATTTCATACCCAGGACTTCTGTCACTCAGGGCCAGAAATCAGGAAATGTTGATCTAGGTTTTGGAGAGCAGGAATATAAGCTCCTTCATCTCTAGAACAAGGCACCAGGGGCACCACAGCCTTCCTGTGCATCTGTGATGACGTTGCCAGTGCCCTAGAGATTGGTTCTTATAGGTTCAATATGGCTATGTTTCTAGCTTTAGGATTATAAAGTCAAGCTCTGCTAGGTCCATTGTTGGCACCATGAGTTCTAAGGCACAGAGCTCCTTTGGAAAGACCTAGAAAGAGGTCCTTGGCAAAAGAGCAAGGTTCTTCTTTCACTCTGACGCCTTTAAAGCAGGAAAATTTCAGGTAGCCCCATAAGAATATTAAGTGAGGCATCTGAAAATAAGATTGTCTGGTTCCAGAGTGGATTATGAACACCGTCTGAGTGTAAGACTGTGGGGGATGTCTCGGGGACCACCTGCCTGCCAGTAGGAAGCAGCAAAAGGATCCGCGAGGATACTTGCCCTGAGGGAGCAGAAGCCCAGTACAACTGGATCATCGGTCAAAGCTTTGACCTTCTTCCTGCCCCTGGGTTCATAAATAAATCTGTACATACAGGACCAAAACATTCAGATAGTGGGGCTCTGGGCTTCTCTCAAGCACCCCAACCATTTATTTGGGGCCACCCTCACCGTACCTTGACAGGGGGCTTTATCGGCCCCACCGCACCCCTGGCCAGGTGGACGGTCCCAGCTCTGGACTCACAGGGCTTGGGGCTCTCCTCATCCGAGGTGACATCAGGGTCGATGAGCTTCTCCTTCACTTTCTCCGTCCGCTCCTTGAAAAGCTTCACCAGCTCCTGGAGCCGGTCATTGATGACGGCACTGTTATGGCTGGCTGTGGAGGCTGCGCGGTCCTGGCCACTGCGGAAACACCACCTTAAGCTGAGCAGGCTGAGTGGGGTGGAACCCCTGTGCCCCCAGGCAGGGGCTGAACAGCATCTGTATCCTAGCCGGCCTGACCTATATCCTGCCCTGGCTTCCTTCTGACATCACAAACACCAAACTACCTTTAATATCTCTTAGGAGGAAATTCAATCCAGGAAAATCACACCTGGTGTCCAGCTTTTAGAAAATGCACCAGGCTGACTCTGATTTTGACGGGCAGTTCTGAAAAATCCTTGATTCTACTTATGATTTAGGAAAAACTCTTGGAACTCAGTTCAGGGCTGTTAGTCCCAGTTGGGGATTCCCATGGGATATGTGTCCAGGACTATATTTTTACTCTTAGGAAATAACTGGTAGGAAAAAACAGTGCAGTTACATGATATATCCTTTCAATAGGAATTTAAACTGTATGCATTCACAGCAAAAGAAAGCCAGCCAGCCAGAGAGTGAATGAGAGTGCCTGACATTCCACTGCGGGGGGCAAGGGCTCTGGGTGAGCTGAAGCGGGCTGTGAACTGCCTCTCCTCTAAGTAGCCTCACTGTGCTCATCTTGCTGAGCTACATGTGACACTAGTGTTTTCGGACTTTTTTTTCATATATTGAGGCACGAAACTCAAGCCAGCTACTCTTTTGCACTCAGCTGATGAAGCTGGGCTGGCAACAGCCAGTGTAGGGGTCCTAATGAGAGATGGTGCACGGTGCGGTGGGGACATAAGCGGCTCACCCTCATCCACACTCTCCTGGGGGGAGTAGTCACTTGGACGTAGGCATCCAGCCAGGGACATTCCCCAGGAGTGGCTGTGGCCTCCTTGGTGAAGACAAGCCTGGTGTTGCCCCCTTCTGGGGGTAACCAGTGGGATCTTGGAGGCCACACAAAGGTGGCAGAGCCACTGTCAGCTGGGTCCTTATATGTTTGTATGGAGCAGAACCCTCCACTGACCTAGAACACATGACTAGTGACATGACTGTGACCTATAAGACATCATTGTATTCCTTAAGCCACTGAACCTTTGGGGTCTATTATCACAGTGGCTTAGCCTATAATACATGAATCTTCATGTATTAAGAGTTCTGAAAGATAATTTTTATTATTTATCCCATTTCTGCCTTATTTTCTGAAATTAAACCCTAATCCTATCCCTGCCCTACTGCATAAGATGTGACTCCACTCTATACTCAAATGGATCACAGGACGACCGTGAGGTCTGGATTTTTTTCCTGCTTCTTTAACTTCTATGAACTTTCCACAGCTCCATAAAGCAGAAACTACATAAAATTATGGATGGAAAAAAAAAACTGGAAGAAAAGCCCAAAGGCCACTCCAGGAGCTATGGCTGGGGAGAAGGATGGGGCCCCCAGGTCAAAGCCCAGTGCTGGGGGATTCACAATATCCAGGCTACTTAAACTCTTCAGGGAACACCTCCCATTGGCCCAGCCTTTGGGATAGTTAGATGTCAGAGAAACAGGTCCCAACACCATCCCAGCACCCTCTAAACATTGTCCCACGGACCAGTGACATCCAAATCACCTGGGGAGCTTGTAAAGCAATGGGTTCTCCTAGGGCCCACTCTCTGAGGTTCTGATCTAGCATTTCTTGGCAGGGCCTGGGAATCTATATTTTTAATAAGCTCCCCAGGTTGGGAGCCCTTGGAAATTCTTGTGGTCCTCCCTCACCTGGTTGACCTGTTCAGGGGCTCAGTGCCAGGAGCCAACCCCTACGTGTGGGCCACGAGTCTCTGCACAGAGACACCTCTGAGCACTGCTCACCACGGGCACAGCTGGATCAGAGTCTGAGCTCATTCTGCCCATTTTGCAGAAATCCTAGGCCACCCGGAAGCAACCTGTGCATGAGACCCACCCTGGTTGTACAGCTCAGAGGCCACTGCCAATGTCTATCTTACAGTAGAGGGCTCTAAACACATGCCCCCACTCACCTCCCCTCATTCATCCATCCCCACCCAGCCTTCTGATTCTCTGAGACCCTAGAGGTGACCCGCCACTCACTCAGTGTCCTGTGGGGTAGGGGGGTCTGACCAGGCGACCACAGGGGACTCAGATTGTGACAGTGCCTTAAGCTCTTCAACTTCGTCATCTTGAGAGGGCAGCCTTTTCCTGAAAGGACACAGACACAGAAGGGGACTTCAGTGAGGGCAGGGACCCTGGGGGAAGTGAATAAGCTTCAACCTATGCAGACAACCCAGAGCCAAATCCTGGGTGAGAGATGGGCAGGAGATGGTGCTGCCAAAGGGTCCTCACTTGCCTACAGGGAGACAAAAGGGAAAGATGGATACAGCCACCTCTACAACCACAGCAGCTCTTCTGTGACCTGTACTCTGCATAATTCAATGAATGAAACATGAGGATTGATGGGGCTGTGAGCTGGGTTCCAAGGCTGGGGGAGATTGTAAGTCTTTTCTCCACATTAAATCAGAGATCCCTCAGTGTGCCACATCTAGCTATCTTTGTTCTGCCATGTTCCTTATATCAGCTGAGAAGTTATGCAAGGGCTCATGGATAAGAGCAAAAATTTATCAAGATAAAAGGACAATCTCTCAATCTAGCCAGTAATGGAGAAGCACTGGCAACTACACTTTAGTTTAAATACAGCCATTTGTACAGCACTATATTACACTTCACAGTTTGACTACAGGACCTCGTTCAGTTACCAGGCTCAGATTGCCCAAAACCAGCTCTTATCAGTAGCAACACAAATGTCTCAAGAAGCATAAAAATGTGTACAACCTTGATCAGGAATCCTACTCTTGAAAAAAGAACCCCAGGAAAAGAGCGGAAGACCAAAGAGATATTCATACTGTCATTACGGACAGTGCCCAATAAGAGGGGATTTGTTAAGGCCATTCCTGCACATGGAGCTGAAGGAATCTTATGCAGCCATTATAACTGAATGTTAAAGAGACAGCCTAGTGATATGGAAAAAGGATCATTAAATGAGATGTGGTCTCAAATGAGACATGATCAAAATCATTCCTTCAATTAAAGGTACACAAAAGCACGGGCCCATAAACAAGGTATGGAAGAGAAGGTGGAAAAATAAAAACACCATCTAGTGTGGTAGGACTATAGATGAATATTTTCCTAGTGCTTTTTGGTATTTCCATTGTATTATTTAATAGTAAAATGAGGGAGTAGAAATTAGCCCCATCAAATTTATTAGCTTTCTAACATATAGTTGAGGGTATTTTGGAAAGGGCTTCCTTGCAGAGTCCTAAGCCAGGAATTAGAATGAGGAAGGAGTGATCATAGTCCCACTTCTGACACCAATTCTCTGAGTAATGTTGGTCTAGCTACTTCCCCTCTCTGGCCTCAGTCTCCTCTGCTGCCAAATGGACAGATGGTACACTGCTGTGAAAAGCCCAAGAGAAGAAAAAAAGGTGACCTGTGGGTTCCTGCAGCAGATCCTGGTACTGTAAGTGTGTCAAAATTGGCAGGAGAAGGTGTTGGCAGTACAGGTGAGGGTGGACCCTCCTCCACGATGAGGGGCTGGCTGTCAGCATCAGCATCTTCCACCTGCACTTCTGGGAGCTCTTTTGCAGCAGGCACTTGGGGAGAGGAAGAAGAGGACAGATTAGAGAAAGAGAGAAGCCAGGTCCCAAGGACCTTGCTGTATTCTTGAGTAAAGCCACAGAAAGCATATTTGAAGGCACCTCTGGCAGCCTCCCCTCCCAATGGGGCCAACAGATAACTTCATGCAGGGGGTGCAAGCTCAGGGGACTCTAAGAGTCACAGCCACCCCAGACATCAGCTCAGGAGCCACAAAAGAAGCCAGAATGCCATGCAAGGCACAAGAGCTCCTGGACACAACCTGGAGTCCAGCTCTCCCAAGCCCAGCCTGATTTCCCTGGGCCTGGAGAAGCATCTGGGACCCAGGGTTGGGGGAGGGCACAGCAGCACTCAGAATGGACACCAGGAGCCCAGGGGGCCAAGTCCTGACTGAGCACAGCCTGGCTCAGCTGCTTCCCCTCTCAGGTCTCAGTTTCCCTTTCCCAAGGTAGGGGTGGCATTGCCTTCCCAGACTGGTGGGGTTTGGGGCAGGAGGGCCTCATATTCCCGAAGGGCCTCAAGTGGAGACATTTGGAAGTTTCCTCCAGTCAAGGGTAATAACTTTTTTTGTAGTGTGTGTTACACCTGTTTGGGTACCCATTTTGGTATTTCCTTATTTTTGTACAGGCCAGGAATCCCCAAAATTCACCAACCCAACCCCTCTCTCAGCCTCTGAGAGGCCTGGTACCAGGTCGCACATGCTGGATCAGGTCCTCGCTGGGAAGCCTGGGAGTGGCCCTCTCTCGGGCTTAGTTACCCCCCACCCACCCAGGGACCGTGGAGCCAGGCCTCCCTGAGGGGCTCAGACTGGGACCCCAGCCCCACCATGCCTGGGCAGGACTACTCAATAGTAGCCAGGCGCAGGCCTGGGCACCAGTAAGGCCAGTGCACACCACCCAAAACGGGGAGGGCAAGCACTGCAAAACACTTGGAAGTGTGACTTTTTTTAAGTGGACACCATGGGAAAAGCTGGCACTTTTCGGAACCTAAGCAGATCTCAAGACTTTCTGGCACTTGGTTTAATAAGCCCTAACCCCTTAGGGGAAGAAGATGAACAGGAATCAAGAAGTTTTTATAAAACCTGAGGAGGAAGTTTTGCCAGACTAACAAGAGATGCCCAGGCTCTAGGAAGCAGGAAAGAGCGTGAGGCAGTGAGGGCCTCACCCTGCTTCCTGGCGGACCTTGAGAAGCGAGCTGGAGATGGGACAGAAGCATGCAGGCAGCTGGGACAGGGGCAATCTCTCAAAAATGCCCAGGGCCCCAGAATCCCCCCTAGCGTGGTCCCTGGGCAGCAGAATGTGCCTGGGCCTCAGCATCCAGAGGCTGTCAGGGACCCTGGGAGGGGGCAGGTGGTCCCCACCCACTGCCTTGCCCTCAGTAAGGCTACGACCTCCATCACCCTCAGGAGAGAAGGGAATACCTCTGAGCCTGGTGATTCATTTCCTACCAGCTTGGCAGAGTGGGAACTCAAAATAGAAATTATAATAGGTTTATATTAATTTATAGATAAAGAATAATATTATTAAAAATATGAAGAATAATATTATATGATTTAATTTTGCAAATAATACTATTTACTGTTAAGTACTTCCTATGTGCCTGCCCTGCATTTGTTTTACTAAATTCTGAGTGCTTTAGGTACATTCATTCTTTTACCCTCCCAGCCACTCTATGAGGCTGTTGTAAGCCTTGTCCCCATCTTATGAATAAGGAAACTGAAGCACAGAGTGGTTAAGGAACTTGCTGCTGAGCTCGGATTTGAACCAGGCAGCCCGACTCCAGAGCCTAAACCCTCACTTGAGGTCTGTGACCGGCACATGCAGAAGCCTCCATTTAAGTGAAACTTCACGCAGTGCCAAGCAGCATCATTGAAATGGGAACAATGTCCTTACCACATGCTGTCATTGCCTTGCCTGCAGCAACTAAAACCATCAAGTGTCATATCGCAGGGGATTCAGTCCACTCTCCCGATGTGTCAGTGGGAATATTGCTCAGAGGCAGGGGCCAGGGAGGACCCAGAGGATTTTAGGTGGCACAGACAAGGCAAAGCATACCAGAATGAGATCATTCCTCTCGATCCTAAAACACAGAGAGGAAGTCTCAGGTTAGTGGGACTTAGCCTTTACACCTCTCTGACGCACCCTAATCCCCTTTTGTGTCTCCAGAGCCTCAGCTGTGAGCCATCACAGGATGTCTTATTTCACTAGAAACTATCTATACAACTTGGCTTTTAGTATATTTGTGGCTATTTCTATTTATCCCTTCTATTTATAGCAAGCAATGCTGGTTTCCCATTTGAACAGTAATGTAAAGCTTCCTGTTTAGATACACTTAAATAAAAAGTGAGTCCATTGAAAGTAAGCAAATCAAAGTAGAGTTGGTACAGAATATAGCAAAAGTCGAGGGTGACATGTGGAGGTAGGGGCTGGGGAGGTCTCCAGAGTGAATAGATTTAGGGCTTGCCTGGAAGACTGAGCCTGGGGTGTCCATCCCCTCTTTGGGGATGATCCTCGTGACACCTCACCCACTCTGGACCCACCGTCAGCAGGAAGAGAGGACAATTGGAGATCTCTTCTTGTGAAATACTCCATTCTACCTGCCTGCTGGTCTCAGACGTAAACTTGCCCAGTGTCAGCCCAAACTAAACAAACAAATCAAAAGAGGAAGCGGGCGGGTCTGGCTTGGGTTAAGGCAGAAAGTAGCAGGGCTTAGCCCAGAGGCGCCACTATGTCCCTGAGCAATTTGTCATCAGGAAGCAGGCAGCAGGGGCCTGATGGCCACTGCAGGGAGCTTGTCACAATTAAACAGATCCAGACAGGCCCTGCTTCTGCACTAGTCCCTGAGGACACCCCTCCTCTTGGTCTGCCTGCCAACACCTGGGGGTCTGTCTTTCCTGATATCAACATCCTCAGAGAGTCCAGCTCCCAGCAAACTCTCAAGGTCAGTAGACTCTGCAAACAATGGACTCCCACTTTCCTTTTCTGCCCCATTCACCTGCATTTATTCTCTTCCTCTACCCAGCTCTCTGCCCCAAGCTTTTTGCTCAGTGATCTGAGTGACATGTTTGAACTAGGGTGTGAGTGACTACCAATTAAAAAAAATGACAACCTGAAGAAAGCAATGTTTAACCCAAAGAAATGAATGGCTAATTGTGAAATTTTAGGCACAGAGAAAAGGGCATTAATACCCCTTAAGTCACTACAAAGCAAGATGAAGGCATTGGTCAGCAGAGGAAGAAGAAGTGGTTTTCCATGAGCCCAGCTAGTGGCCCCGGACCATGACAATGGCACCCGTGCAGGAAAGACCCAAGCCATGCAGAAGCCGGTACCATGGGCTCAAGCATGCTGGGTGGGTGAGATCATGCTACCTAGGCAACGGATGGAGCTCCTGGTCTCCTTGACGAAGTTGGAGTTGGACAAGGCTGTCCTCCGGGAGATGAGGACAGGGATGCGGGTGATTGTGGGGCGGTAGCTGGGCACATTAGGGAGGTGCTCTGCCAGGGTTGAGGGGGCAAGCCCGGGGGCCACCTGGCCAGGCGGTTGGTCCTGGACCAGGCGATTCAGCTCCATATCCCGGCCTGGTTTAGCCATGGTTCTGGGGCCAGGGAGTCTCAGGCAGAGGCAGGGCCCTGGGGACTGCAATGAGGAGCACAAAGTTGGGGGAGGCAATGTAGGCAGGGCTCCTCCCCGCCGGTGGTCCCCACAGACCAGCCTGAGGCCCACTGTGCTTGCAGCGGCTGCACCCAGTCTGTAGCATCTCACTTGTCCCTGGAGTTCAATGTCAGAAGCGTCACCAAGTCAGTGGCTGGTCTGCCCCACAGCTCTGAGGTATGGCCCCAAGCCCCACCATCTCTTGTGCTCTCTGCTAACCAACCACCAGGAACAGTTCCCACCTAACTCAAAAAAGTTAAAATCAAAGAACCTACAACTCCTCAGACTTGCAGACTCACAGACTCACAGACTCTGGATTCCAACATTCTTACCTGGGTAGGATTTTCCATCCCACAGAAACCATGGAGCTTAATTAGTTTCACTTCCATCCTTTTCCTAGGGCCCTGCTTCCCGTGCTGGACTCCACATTGGAATCATCTGGGGAAGTCCGGAAATGCAGAGATTCTGATTTAATGATGTGGGTGAGACCTAGCACCAGGATTTTTTTAATCTCTCCAGATGATTCCAATATGCAGTCTAGTTTAAGGGCCAGGGCTCAGGACCACTGCTTCTCAAACACTAATCAAGCAAATCATCAGGGATCTCGTTACACTGCAGGTTCTGGTTCAGCAGGTTTGGGGTGGGCTCTGGGATTCTGCATTTCTAACCAGCTCCCAGGTGACACAAAGCTGCGGATTCTAGGTCTGCACCTGAGGCTGCAGACAAATGGCCATGCCTTAGTGTTTCTCAAAGTGGGTTCCCAGACTACCTGCTTCCAAATGACCTTGGGAACAGGGTAGGAACCCATGGAACCTCAGTCAACACCAGTGTCTTATCCTGGTCTTATTCTATGTGGGGTGCAGACTTAGTAGGTTTCCTCCAGATATGTGTTGAAGTTAAAGGACGAGGTTTTTTAAAGACCAGGTGGGGAGCAAGCTTGGGACACCTGGGGTTAGGCCACCTGGGTCCAGTTGCACTCGATGCTAGCTGGCTGGGACACCAGTGTCATGATCCCATTATGGCCTCCTCCCTCAGTGCCAGCTACAGCGCTGGGTACCACTGATGCACCGTCTCCCTTACTCTTTCTAATAACCCTATGAGGTAGGTACTATTATGGTCTCTTGAACCACAGTTAAGAGAGGCTGCAGAACTGGCCCTGTGTCACACAGCAAGGAAGAGGGAGGAGCCAGGAGCGAAATGCAGGTCTGTGCCCTTGACCGCTTGGCCAAGTCCTGTCCACATGGAGCCTCCACTTTCTCATCTGTAAGATGGCCTGTCTGCTTCACAGACAGCGGACCACTGATGGCTTGTCAGGCCAGGGTTCCGTGTCCACCTGTCCTGGCTCCATGGCCCAGCCATCCTCAGCTCCCCTAGGCTCTGTCCCCACCAGCCCTGGAGTTCTCAGGGTTAGGGGCGGTAAGTCATAGTGATGTGCATGTGCTGAGTGCAGCCTGGTGATCTTAGCAATCAGAAAAAGCTCATCAAGAAACATGGAGTCTAGGATGGGCCCTTACCAAGCTCTGATCCGAGTTTTTACTCAGATAAGTTACATTTGAACCAAATCCCTGCTGGAGGGTGGCTCAGAAAGCTGCATTCCCAGTGAGGGGAATGGCAGGAGGGGTTGTCTGGGAGTAGGGTTTCCCCAGGCCTGCTCGAGTCCCAGGGCATCAGTGCTATTCTGCTGGGGCCTTTAAAACACATGATCAGGTTCTGAAAATGTGGCCCCAAGGGGTAGAGGATGGGTTTTGCCTGAGAATGGGGCAAGTAGAGGGGTGCAGGGAGGGCGGGGGCAGGGACAGGGGTAGGATGCCCCAATCCCAGGCTGCCTCCAGTCTGAAAGTATCCTGGACATTCTGGGTAACTCCCCCACCCCCACCTACCTCCTGAGCTGGCGGCCACAGCCTCCTTCTGCAGCTCCTGCAAGATAAAGCAGAAATAGAACCTGTGACCTCCCACCCCCTCCAAGCCCTAGTCCGGCCCAGCCCCCATTGGGAGATCTCCCTTTAGGAGAGCTCATGGGCACAGTTCTGTTCCTTGTCCTGGCCAGTTAGGCCCTGCCAGTCCACCTTCTGGGGCATCCAGGGACGTGGCCTCCATCTGTGTATGTGGGGACAAAGCAGCTGAAGCAGCCACCTCAGCCCTCCCCACCTAGGCACCGCACCTCAGGGTATACAACTCTGCACAATGCCTGGGGAGGGGTTTTAGCACTGCTTTACAAACGCAGACACTGAGGCCGAGTGGGGAGGTGACTAGGTGACTTGTCCAGGGTCACACAGCCATGTGAGGACCAGAGTGTGGGTCCAGCTGCTCCCCACCCACAGCCCTTCCTGATACCGCCTGATTCCCGGTACAAGCAGGGGCTTGCAGTACCCACCACCCTGCTCCCCTCTGTTCGGTGGGCCTCTCACCAGCCAAGAAAACCCCTAAACAAAGAGAACAAAGCCTCTGTCCCTTCCACTGACGCCAGCCAGGGTGCCATGCCCGGTGCTGCTCCATACCTGGTGTGAGGCCCTCTGGGGCTGGGTCCTGCCTACTCCGCTTGGGTCCTCATCAGCCTGTGCCACCAGACAGCTATCCAGCAGGACACTGTGACCCGATGGGGGAGGAAAGGGCTGGGGTTAGGAGTGGTGAACATGTCCTGGGTGCTGCTGAGTGCCAGGCTCTGTGCCGGGAGCAGGGACAGAAAGATGCCCGAGAGGAGGCCCTGCCTCATGAGGCTCCCAGCACAGGGCGGGCAGCAGACGCCCTGTCCCCCTAACAACCTCCTAGTCTGAGATTGCACCCTAGAGCAGGGGGCTGCGAAGGAAGGAGGGCTTCCTAGAGGAGGTAGTCTGTGATCTGAGCCTCAAGGACAATGAGTTGACCATGAGGAATAGGTGTGGAAGAGTGTCCAGGAACAGGGAACAGTATGTGCAAAGAAAAGTGTAGAGGATGGTTTGAGGAACTGTCTGTCCTCTGCGGTGTGACCAGTATGGCCAAAGGGGACTGTGTAGTATACACCCATCATTTCCCTTCTGAGAGGCTCCAGGCGTTCTTGGTGATGCAAGGCAGGGCAAACAGTACAAGAAAAGGGAGGCCCAGAGAGGTGAACAGCTGGCCAAAATCACACAACAAACTGACCCACCTCACACAAGCTTTGAAGGCAGGCCCTGGTTCTCTCTCTGTTATGAGAGCAGAGCCACACTGCGGCTGCTGAAGGTTTCAGGGGTCCCTGGCCCAGGCAGCAGGCATTCATGAGTGACAGGGACTGGGGGTGAGGCTACAGGGAATGGAGAGGACTATGGCAAATCAGAGAACCCGTGCCCACCTGAGCTGGCGACTTCACTCCGCTTGGAATGTGGGTGCAGGGGACAGGTGTTCTGATTTTCAAGCAAAGCCGGAACCATGCATTTCAAAGGTGGAATCTCCCTATCATTATATGCTGATAATTAATCTGATTAATATATCTATATTAATATATAGCTATCCAAAAGAGCCGGTCTCCAGGTAAACTAGGCCCTTGCATGCCCTTGTGCAAGCTCTGAGTTAATAGGGGGACTCAGAACCAGTGGCTGGTGTGATTTTTGAAGTTAAAATTGGATCCTGCTCCTAGGTGGCCCACCCCACCGCACAGACCCCTGTCACCGAGGGCTTACAGAGGGTGCGTGCAGTGTCTGCCACCAAGAAAACCTGAACTTAACATCCTCCACCGGGTGGCTGAGGAGGGGGGATGGGGTTGCAGCCTGGCAGCCAGCAATCATATTGTCCCAGCCCATGGGCTTTGTGCCCAGCCCCGGGCCAAGCACTTAGCCTTGCAGAGCACTCCCTGAATCCCACCCAAATAACCCAGAGAGCCGGGGACTGGGACTGATCCCATTCAAACTTAGAAGTTCAGAGAGGTCTCATGGTCTGTGTCCATGGTCACACAGCCAATACAAAGCAAGCCTGGATGAAATGCAGGTGTCTCTGACCCCAGTGCCATGCATTTAATACTCTGTTGCCCACCTCTGAGGCCAAATGTGACATGCAGGAGCGAGGCGAGTATCTGCAGGATGAAGCCCCCAACTCACTTTACTTCTCTTCATTGTGTAAGGGATTCCATCGTGAGGGGCCTGAATTATCAAGGTCACGCTGCCTACTCACCCAGGGAGAAACAGATTTTCTTAAAGAGATTAAAGTCACAAAATCAAGGACACATTACGATTTTCATGGGGCCTGGGCACTTCAGCCTTCAGGGCCCCTTCTTCCATAAAAATATATTAAAAATTATAGTTTGTGACTACATTTATATGAAGTCATATATTAATATTAAATAATAAAGTATTCTCTTTCACATAAAAGTTCATTTTTTTTTTGGTCTGATCTTAAAAGTAATTAAAACATTCTTGTGGGCCCCTAAAGTATTGCAGGAACTATGCACCCCTCAGCTCTTAGAGCTCAAAGGCCCAGGAAATTAACTTCCCGTAATCCAGTCGGTGGCTGCCCAGGGTGTTGCTCATTCCAGAATCAGGCCAGGAAATCTCTGTACGGCCTTGGGTAAGTCACCGGGGAGCTGCGGGCTGCCTGTTCCCTCAGCCATCAAATGAGAAGGGCTTGCCTAGTCGTACAGCCTGACTTATTTGACTGATACCAGGAGAGCCAGTGAGAATCTCACGGAAAAGTAAAAAAAGACTTCCCGTGTCAGGTGTCATTCCCAATTCTCCATCTCAGAACACTGGCAAGCAGCTTTCCCAGTCTGTGGTGCCGAGTTAGCTTTGCAGCCAGCCTGGCGGAGGATAGAATCCTGGCTCTGCGCTTGCTGGCAGGGCACCCTTGGGCATGCAGGGTACTGTCTCTGAGCCTCAGTTCTCTCACTGTGGAATGGGATTGATACTAGGTGCCTTAGCACCGTGCCCGGCACAGAAAACGGGCTCATCAAATGGCAGCTGTTACCATGACTGTTCTTCTTGTCGCTGTTATTAATCCCAGAGGAGGTGACATTATGCAGGGTTATGAAACATTTTACACAAACCTCTCCAGCTACTGAGATACACAAGGAGCCCAACGGTCGCCCCATCAGCACCACCTGAGGATCTCTGGGGACCTATGTGCCCATAGTCATGCTGTCCCTGGTTGACAGTGTGCCCAGTGCCCGCCAAGGCCCCCTCCCCCTCTTGCCCAGCCCAGAAGGAGCCATCCATCAACTTCTGGAAATTTCCCAAATCCAGGGATTTACAAGTTTTTAAAGGTGCAGGGAGTAGCAGAGGCAGCCAGCCCACTCCTCCTCCCCCAAGTCACCAGCAGGCTGTGCCCCAAGTTAAGGTCTGCATGTTGCCTACAGCAGTCTCTTCACCCCACAGCCCAACCCCGAAAGAAGGAAGGAAAGAGGCCCTTATGGAGAAGCAGCACCTACTTGGGTTCCGCTGTCTTTGCCAACAAGGACGCCCATGGTGCAGGAGTTCAGCTGGGGGTGATGACGTGTATCCAAGCCCCAGGTCAGTGCACACAAGCAGAGAACTGGGAGACCGCAGCCATGAGCTGCAAAGCCAGCTCTGGAGCCAGGGTGGCTTGGGTGCTGGATGAGCCACCAGTCCTTCCTGCTTCTAATCAGATTGTGGGGGCGTGCACAGAACTCTGCAGAAACGTCCCCAGGGAGGCCAGGTGGGGACCAAAAGGCCATGGTTGCTAGGAAAAGCCGAGCTGTTGCGGGCAGAGACCAGGTCACTAGGCAACCATCTGCCCGTTACCAAGGCCCACACGTCATCAGTAACCCCTGTGTCTCTGCAAAGCTGGCTGAGAGCACCCTTTCCCAGCCAGCGACAGCCCAGCCCACTTGCCCACGCCTGTCCTCTCTCATCACCATGTTCTCATCCCTACCTGGGGCCCCAGGCCCAAAAATTCCCTGAGTGTGAGCTCTCAGTGAATGTTGTGTGAGTGTGTTTGTGAGTAACTGTATGTATGTATTTGCAGGCATGAGCAGGTATGCAGGGTGTGGTGTGGATGTGTGTGAGTGTGTACGTGTGTGCACACATGTGAACACGTTTGTGCGTGTTGTGTCTTGTGCCTGTTAAAAGGCTGTGTGTAGGTATAAATGTGTGCAGGCCTGCACATCTAAGTGTGCTCATAACCCAGAGTGTGTGTCTCTATCTATGTGCTGGTATGTGTGTGTAGTGTAGATATGCACGTGTGCGCCTGGCTGTACCGTGCACTGATATGTACTGAGAACATATGTGTAGTTAGTGTGCATGTGTGAGCACATTGGCTGACTGGCCTGCAAGAGTGTTTCAGCTCAAGAGCAATTGCATATAAGGGGTTTTTAGGCCTTCGTGCTGGGTGCACATGTTTAGTGGGGGAACAACTCTCCCACTATGTGCTCTGCACAGAGGCAGTGGAAAGCAAAGGGCAAATAAGGCTGCACTAGCGAAGCCAGGCAGCGTCAAAGGTCTTCATCTCATGAAAGGATAGTCACCTGTTAGTGAGAGCAATCTGGCTCTGGAAGGGCCCAGAGGGCAGAATTAGCACTGGGTTACAGAAACCATAGGGTAGCAGGCTTAGTTTTTGTGGAAGAACTAATTTCCTAAGTTAGAGATGCATGTGGAGGGAATGAACAGCCTTCAGGAGGTTGTGAGCTTCCTGCCATTAGAGGCAAGCAAGTAACTGTGTGGCCTCCTGCCAAGGATGGAAAGATTATATTTGAGCTGAGCAAAAGTGAACCAAAAGCAGATGACACTGAGCAGGCGTCCAGCCCTAAAGTCCTGTACTGGTCCCATGGTTTAACTGGTTCCTGACTGGGACTAAAGTAATCCTCAGTGGGGATGAGAACATCAGTGACTTTCAGGGGAACTCATTCCAGGCCGGGTCCCACCACACCCATTATCCCAGCTAGGTGGAAAGGATGGGGGTGAAGGGGGCAGAGGGCAGAGTGACAGGGACAGGGAATGATGCAAGGGGGCTGGAGCAGGGAACAGATTAAATTAGTCTGGCCTGACCAGAGATAAAAGCCCCTCACTGCCCTCCCTGCCTCAATGTCTCCACAATACAACTGCCAGATGGTGTCACTCCCTTGCTCACAAACCTTCAATGGCTCCCCATGTCCCTCAGGAAATCAAGTCCAAGGCCTTTATAATCTGGCCCCACCAGCTCTGAAGCGTCATCTCTCACCACTTCCACCAGCTAGTGTCACTGTTGCCCAGACCCACTGGCTGACTCTCAGACAGGGGATCACTCCCTCCACCTTGAAAACACTTTCCTACTTGACTGCCAGACCCCATTCACCTCATCTCCCTTCCCCCTCAGTGGTACCTCCTCAGTGTTTTCTGCTTCATCCTCACTGCCCCAGCTTTAATCTGGCCTTTGAGCCTCTCCTCTACCCACGCTCACTCCCCAGGCATCTCCTCCAGCCACACTGTTTTCAATCCCATCTTCCAGAGCAGACTCCTGACTTCACATCTCCATCCTCTGACTGTCTCTGAATCCACACTCAGGTGTCCAACTGCCGGCTCTTCACATGTGCATCCACCTCTCTGTCCGTCCTTCTGTCCATACCACATTGCTAAAAAACTCCCTCTTAGTGATTTCCCTTTTTTATTGAAATATATTTGACATGTCACATTGTGTAAATGTAAGGTATACTTGTTGACTTGATGCATTCATATGTTATACTCTGATTGTCATTGTAGTAATAATTAACACCTCTACCCTGTCACATAATTACCATTTCTTTTTAGTCATTAGAATACCTAAGATCTGGTCTCTTAGCAAGGCTGATAATTAGAACTTTCAGTGGTCTCTGATCTCCATTTTTTAACCTTTAACCATTTTTTAACCATTTTTGTGGGTGTTAGTGTTGAAATCATTATGGAGATTTCATGGGCAGAGAATCAACCACCAATGGGCGGCACAGCAGAATCCAGAGCAGCTTTAGAAAATGTCAAAGGCAACCACCATGGAACCACTGTGGGGGATGTGGAGGGGAACAAGCCCTATGCCTTGGCTTTATTAATTGTAGGGGAGACCTGTGAGCCCACTGCGTGTGTACACTCATTCATCCATCCGTGCATTCAACCAGCATTTATTTGGTGCCTATAGTCCCAGGCACTATTGCAGGATTTAGGGACATGGCAGCGAACACAGTAGACAAAACCCCCCGCCCTCCGGTAGGTTGAGTTCTAGTGTCTGTGTGTGGCGTGGGGGGGAGGTTAGAAGGTGGGTAATATCAGTCTCAGGTCACTGTCAGCACATAGAGTGCCCCCAGTGTCCCCAGCCCAGCCCTCTGCACAGTGCCCCGCAACACACAGCAGAGGACGGAGGAAGGAGCGCCCGTGAGCAGCAGAGACCCTCACCCCAGGAGCCCCACCACCTGCTCAGGGACGGCCCCTGGGCCGCCCTTCAGCCAGAGGGGGAGGGCCTTACTCAGGTTCCTCCTGCTCCTCTTCCCCTTCCTCCTCTCCATCTTCCTCCTCCTCCTCTTCTTCTTTCTCTTCTTGTATCTGGGGCAACTCCCTGAGTTGAAGTCAGAGGCAGGAGGTGAGCCCACCCGCAGCCCCACCCCACCCCCAGTCCACTTCCACCCCTATTTTTCATAAGATGTTCTGTGACCCCTGAAACCAGACCTGAACTCCTCAAACAAGACTTGACCTGGGGAGCCCCACCTGAGAATCCTGGGGTCTCTCTAGCAACGTGGGCTTTTCACTGCATGAGGGCCATCCTGGTGGTGATCCTAGGTCAACCCCTAATCCTCTTTGGGACTCAGTTTCCCCATCTTTGCAATGTAGGTCATTGGCCTGAGGATCTGAGACCTCCCAGCTCGAGCGGCCATCACCAAGGGCACTAGTGGGAATGAAGATCTTTATGTCCCTGGTGGAGGGTGACTTCGCAATCACCACCACAGTTACACATTCCCATGCCCAATGACGCTGCAGCCCCCTTTCTGGAAATTTGTCCTGTGGACATACTCACATGCATGTGCATGTGCAAGGACATGTGCCACAGTTTATAATAAAATTTTGGAATCAACTTAAATGTCTATCATTAATGGAGAGGACAGGTTAAATAAATCCCAGCACATCTGTACAATGGAATATTATGCAGCTGTAAAAGGAAAAATGTGCACAATCTTTAGGCAGTGAATGTGAAAAGACCTCAAGATACTTGTTGAATGAATATAGCAAGGTGCAGATAGGTAAGTGTGTGTGATATGCTATCTTTTATGCAAACAAAAAAAAATGGGGGAGGGGACTCCATGCTTGTATATGCTCAGATATACAAGCATGGAAAAACCTGGCAGCCATTGTTGGGTATGTGGGGGAAGGTGAGGAGGGGGGCAGGCTTGGTTCCCGCTCTAGGCTCCTTTGTGAATTTTAGGCTATGTGCCTGTTATCTTGCTAAACAATCTTCTTTTCCAGGGCCTTGTCTGGCCCCCACCTGGGCATCTCTTCCATGGCCTTGTTCTCCTCTTCATAAGCTGGCGCTGCCTCTGAGCCCTGTAGGCTGGTGCTGCCATCCTGATGCTTGTCCTCCTCCCAGCAAGGGTCGACTTCTTCTAGAATGAGATCAGGCTCCTCTTGCCCTCCAGGGAGGATGCTGACTGCAGGGGACACAGGGAAGGGGGCAGTGGGCTTGGGCCTCTGAGCCCCAGGGTCCACACAGGGTTCTTGGCCATCACCAGCAGCGTGCCAGCTCTCAGCCAAGCAGCAGAAGTGACACCATTATCAGAGGTTGAGTTCTAGTGTCTGTGTGTGGCGTGGGGGGGAGGTTAGAAGGTGGGTAATATCAGTCTCAGGTCACTGTCAGCACATAGAGTGCCCCCAGTGTCCCCAGCCCAGCCCTCTGCACAGTGCCCCGCAACACACAGCAGAGGACGGAGGAAGGAGCGCCCGTGAGCAGCAGAGACCCTCACCCCAGGAGCCCCACCACCCGCTCAGGGACGGCCCCTGGGCCGCCCTTCAGCCAGAGGGGGAGGGCCTTACTCAGGTTCCTCCTGCTCCTCTTCCCCTTCCTCCTCTCCATCTTCCTCCTCCTCCTCTTCTTCTTTCTCTTCTTGTATCTGGGGCAACTCCCTGAGTTGAAGTCAGAGGCAGGAGGTGAGCCCACCCGCAGCCCCACCCCACCCCCAGTCCACTTCCACCCCTATTTTTCATAAGATGTTCTGTGACCCCTGAAACCAGACCTGAACTCCTCAAACAAGACTTGACCTGGGGAGCCCCACCTGAGAATCCTGGGGTCTCTCTAGCAACGTGGGCTTTTCACTGCATGAGGGCCATCCTGGTGGTGATCCTAGGTCAACCCCTAATCCTCTTTGGGACTCAGTTTCCCCATCTTTGCAATGTAGGTCATTGGCCTGAGGATCTGAGACCTCCCAGCTCGAGCGGCCATCACCAAGGGCACTAGTGGGAATGAAGATCTTTATGTCCCTGGTGGAGGGTGACTTCGCAATCACCACCACAGTTACACATTCCCATGCCCAATGACGCTGCAGCCCCCTTTCTGGAAATTTGTCCTGTGGACATACTCACATGCATGTGCATGTGCAAGGACATGTGCCACAGTTTATAATAAAATTTTGGAATCAACTTAAATGTCTATCATTAATGGAGAGGACAGGTTAAATAAATCCCAGCACATCTGTACAATGGAATATTATGCAGCTGTAAAAGGAAAAATGTGCACAATCTTTAGGCAGTGAATGTGAAAAGACCTCAAGATACTTGTTGAATGAATATAGCAAGGTGCAGATAGGTAAGTGTGTGTGATATGCTATCTTTTATGCAAACAAAAAAAAATGGGGGAGGGGACTCCATGCTTGTATATGCTCAGATATACAAGCATGGAAAAACCTGGCAGCCATTGTTGGGTATGTGGGGGAAGGTGAGGAGGGGGGCAGGCTTGGTTCCCGCTCTAGGCTCCTTTGTGAATTTTAGGCTATGTGCCTGTTATCTTGCTAAACAATCTTCTTTTCCAGGGCCTTGTCTGGCCCCCACCTGGGCATCTCTTCCATGGCCTTGTTCTCCTCTTCATAAGCTGGCGCTGCCTCTGAGCCCTGTAGGCTGGTGCTGCCATCCTGATGCTTGTCCTCCTCCCAGCAAGGGTCGACTTCTTCTAGAATGAGATCAGGCTCCTCTTGCCCTCCAGGGAGGATGCTGACTGCAGGGGACACAGGGAAGGGGGCAGTGGGCTTGGGCCTCTGAGCCCCAGGGTCCACACAGGGTTCTTGGCCATCACCAGCAGCGTGCCAGCTCTCAGCCAAGCAGCAGAAGTGACACCATTATCAGAGGGACCAGTAACGACGGATTACGCTAAAGAGATGGGCTGAAGCCCACGTTCACCCTGTCTCCTGTCATCAGCTTTCCTCCTCTTTTTCCTCTTAAGACAGAGCTTCAATTACAGTTTTTGTTTCTCATTGGGGCCCCCTTTTTGAAGGTTTGTGCAGAAGCAGAAACAATGTTTCTAACCACAACAGCACAGGGGTTGCAGAAAGACCAGGGCCAATGTCTGCCTTGCCACATCCAGTTGCAGGGTGGCCTGGAATGTCTCCAGGGATACAGAGAGAGCTTGCCCATTTCCTGTTCTCTAGATGCCACCCCCTGGTGACAGCATACTACATGCCCATACCATCAGCACCAGCTTCTGGGAGTCTTTCTGTCCTGGGCCTAGAGGCTCCAGCCTCCAAGGAACTTTCTGGTGGAGGTGGTCCCACCTTTAGATAGGAGTCTATAATTTTCAACATCTTTTTCATATGCTCTGGTCCTGACAATGAAAACACTGTCAAGATGAAAGCTGGGCACAAGTGGGTATAGGGAAGTCTTATCAGGACCTAAGCCCACCCACAGGCAGGAGAAAGGGGAGAAAGAGGGAGATTGCCTGGAGACCAGGTATTCCCAGAGAGGTCTGGGGTCTTGGTGGCCCTGAAGCCAAGCACGAATTACTAACAGCAACTTTAACTGGAAGCTGGCCTTAAGTCTTATCTACGACTTTGGGAGTTACTGTCTATGGTGTAAAATAATGATAATGATAATGGCAGCTACATTATTGAGCACTTACTGTATGCCTAGCCTTCTGCTAAGGGATTACATGGATCAACTCAACCAGTCCCCACATCACCCTTCTAAGGTGGGAATAGTTTTTACCCCCATTTTCTTCCCCCTGTTTTATACACAATTCCCCATTGTACAGATGAGCAAACCGCTACACAGGTTATATGAGTTGCTTTCCATGTGCCGGCCTGGCTGCTTTCCCAGAGTTGCCTCCCCTGCTCCTGCCTCCCGGCTTCTAGGTACAGACTTTATCCTTCCCTGTCTGCCCCCCAGGGGAGGCTCCCACACACATTCTGGATTCTTCCTGCCCTGCAAGCACCGTGGGGTTTGACCAAGGAAGCTCTTCTGAGTGTGGCTTCGAATCCAGTGGGGGGGCATGTTGTATGTGTCATTCTATGTGACTGCCCAGCAATAGTGTAGTGTCTCCACTGCTAGAAGCCTCTTGAGGTGCAAGTCCCCCCACAGAGCAGGGGGAATTAGAGGACAGAACATCCCTTAGCCTGTGAGCTCGTTAGCTTTCCCAGCAACCCCGCAGGGTGAGTACAGCACTCCCCACGTAATAGACCAGAGAGACTGCTCAGAGAGGCTGAGTGACTTGTCCAAGGCCACACAGGACAGCAGAGGCAGTGCCTGTCCCCCGACTCCTGTTTCCCTGGTGTGCTGTCCCAGGTGATAAACATGCCCCATGAATGCAGCCCTCCCCACAACACTGCACCTGTGGCTGCTCCACGATGGGCACTGAGTGAGCCCAGCGCTTGGCGTCCTGAAAAGTAGATGCCATCCTTGCTTACATCCTGGCTTTCCTTTTTATTACCATTTCTTTTTACATACTGTTTAGTGAGTAGGTGTTTTACAAGCATTTCCTCCATTCATTTCTGTGCCAGGCCTGCAAGCCATGCTCTGAACTGTCCCCATTTTACCTACAAAGATTCTACAGCTCTGAGAATGGTGGCCAAGGCATCAGGGGGGCAGGTGTGGCATGCTCCCCCACACTCACCCCGGGCACGGCCCCAAGCAGACCTGGAGAAGGAGCTGCCGTCCCGCCCCTGGGCCCCCGAGCCTCTCCCTGCAGGCATATGATCCACAGCTCTCCTGGCTTTTCCAGAGCCCCACTTGGATGCCCAGGGCACAGACAGGGCCACCAAAGCACTGTGGGTACCCAAGCTCATAGGAAACTGCTGTCTCATCTGGGCCTTAAACTTTGCCCCTGGAGTCCCTCATGGGCACACCACCTCCTGGACAGCATGCTCTCTGCCACGTAGGATGATCCTCAGGGCAGCTGAATGGGGTTCTGACTCCAGCAGTGAAGGCCATCAGCCCCACCTGGGAAAGGAGCTCCAGTGTCCAGGACCAGCAGGCAGGAAGCCAGAGGCAGGGACTCTAGGCCAAGGTGCCACCCAGACCCTGGGGTGCTGGCAAAGCCCAAGCCTTGGCTCGAGGCCTCCAGCCTCTCTGGCAGGCCTGGCTCCCAGGCGCTTCAGATCTGGCCCAAAGTCCCTGCTTGGTTCACTTTCCCACCTCCAATGTTTGGTCAGCCTCAGAGAATCTGTGTGCGGCCACTCCCCTGCTCACCCACCTTCCATGGCTCCCCATTGCCTACAGCCAACAGATGAGCAAACCGCTACACAGGTTATATGAGTTGCTTTCCATGTGCCGGCCTGGCTGCTTTCCCAGAGTTGCCTCCCCTGCTCCTGCCTCCCGGCTTCTAGGTACAGACTTTATCCTTCCCTGTCTGCCCCCCAGGGGAGGCTCCCACACACATTCTGGATTCTTCCTGCCCTGCAAGCACCGTGGGGTTTGACCAAGGAAGCTCTTCTGAGTGTGGCTTCGAATCCAGTGGGGGGGCATGTTGTATGTGTCATTCTATGTGACTGCCCAGCAATAGTGTAGTGTCTCCACTGCTAGAAGCCTCTTGAGGTGCAAGTCCCCCCACAGAGCAGGGGGAATTAGAGGACAGAACATCCCTTAGCCTGTGAGCTCGTTAGCTTTCCCAGCAACCCCGCAGGGTGAGTACAGCACTCCCCACGTAATAGACCAGAGAGACTGCTCAGAGAGGCTGAGTGACTTGTCCAAGGCCACACAGGACAGCAGAGGCAGTGCCTGTCCCCCGACTCCTGTTTCCCTGGTGTGCTGTCCCAGGTGATAAACATGCCCCATGAATGCAGCCCTCCCCACAACACTGCACCTGTGGCTGCTCCACGATGGGCACTGAGTGAGCCCAGCGCTTGGCGTCCTGAAAAGTAGATGCCATCCTTGCTTACATCCTGGCTTTCCTTTTTATTACCATTTCTTTTTACATACTGTTTAGTGAGTAGGTGTTTTACAAGCATTTCCTCCATTCATTTCTGTGCCAGGCCTGCAAGCCATGCTCTGAACTGTCCCCATTTTACCTACAAAGATTCTACAGCTCTGAGAATGGTGGCCAAGGCATCAGGGGGGCAGGTGTGGCATGCTCCCCCACACTCACCCCGGGCACGGCCCCAAGCAGACCTGGAGAAGGAGCTGCCGTCCCGCCCCTGGGCCCCCGAGCCTCTCCCTGCAGGCATATGATCCACAGCTCTCCTGGCTTTTCCAGAGCCCCACTTGGATGCCCAGGGCACAGACAGGGCCACCAAAGCACTGTGGGTACCCAAGCTCATAGGAAACTGCTGTCTCATCTGGGCCTTAAACTTTGCCCCTGGAGTCCCTCATGGGCATACCACCTCCTGGACAGCATGCTCTCTGCCACGTAGGATGATCCTCAGGGCAGCTGAATGGGGTTCTGACTCCAGCAGTGAAGGCCATCAGCCCCACCTGGGAAAGGAGCTCCAGTGTCCAGGACCAGCAGGCAGGAAGCCAGAGGCAGGGACTCTAGGCCAAGGTGCCACCCAGACCCTGGGGTGCTGGCAAAGCCCAAGCCTTGGCTCGAGGCCTCCAGCCTCTCTGGCAGGCCTGGCTCCCAGGCGCTTCAGATCTGGCCCAAAGTCCCTGCTTGGTTCACTTTCCCACCTCCAATGTTTGGTCAGCCTCAGAGAATCTGTGTGCGGCCACTCCCCTGCTCACCCACCTTCCATGGCTCCCCATTGCCTACAGCCTCTCCCGTAAAACCAGGCCCTGACTTTTCTAGTTTCACCTTATGCATCAAGGACTCAGGATTAGCCAAGAGCCTGCCCCTCTCCCTCTCCTGCCCCAGGCATTGGCTCACTTTATTCCCTTACCGGATTGCCCTCCCTTCACCTATACAGCCAGGGCAATGGTGTAAATGGGTAAAGTAGAGCATGCCACCTGCCCTCAAGTGGCAGCTGTTGCTCAGACAGTCCCTACAAGCATACGTGGCCCTTTACAGCTGAATATTCCTAGTCTGGTGAAGGGTCAGACTTTCTTTATGCAAAACCAGCTGATTTTTAAATGTTGGTAACTAATTTTCATTTTAATGTCACTCCTTGCCCCAAACACAGACATCTGTGGGCCCGCTGGCTCAGAACCCCTGGTCAGCTCCTCATTCCTGCAACCCCAATACCATAGGCCATAGCCTATTTAATGCACCCACTTTTCAAACCTAAGTACTCATTGTAGGTTTACTGGAAGCAATAATATCGTGCAATCACAGGTTTGATGTGCTAATTTATGCTTTTTAATGTTAATGAAAGCATTTGTTCAGGCCCCCAACTTTTGAAGGGTGAGAGCATGACCAGGCCTAAGGAGATCCTCTTCTAGGAAAACCTGTGTCCCATGGGAGTACCAGCTGTGCCCCGCACCCTGCTAAGGGCTCTGCCGGCAACCTCTCCAGAGTCCTCGCCAGGCTTGCCCACAGCCTTCGGTGGGAAGTCCTCCCTGCTGTCTAGCCTAAATGCCACTGGCTGCCTTGGCTGACCTGCCCCTTGCTCTGGTGGAAGGTGGCGGCCTTGGTCCCAGAGAGGCGGCTCAGGGACTGGCTCCCCCCATCCTGCCTGGGAGCACGGGGTGGGGCAGAGGATCAAGGAGGGTGGGGGCTCACAGCCACCTCCTTCCCCCTCTCCTGCAGGTCTTCTCTTCAGGGCACCCTTCTTTCCTTCCATCCATCTGTCCGTTTGTCCATCTGCGCTCTCCTAGGCTCCCTTCCCCCTTGTTTCAGAGGCCTCCAGCTGCTGCCACCCCTGAAACAAAGGAGAAGACAGAAGGATGGGTGGCTGGGTGGACAGGCGGAGGGAATGAACGAGTGTGTGCCCTGCTGGGTGAAGGACAGGGAGGCTGGGGGCCCGAGGGGGGAGAAGGGGAGGGACTCTCATCCCCAGCCCCTCAGGATCCCCCCAAAATATATATCCAAGTCCTCACCCCTGTCCCTGTGAGCATGACCTCATTTGAAAACAATTTGCAGATGTCATTAGTTAAGGATCTCAAAATGAGATTATCCTGGATTTAGGGTGGGCCCTACACTCCATGACTATGTCCTTATAAGATGGGGAGAGGGAGATTTGACAGACCCGGAGGAAAAGGCAGAGATGGGAGGGCAGCTGGCTAGAAGCCAAGGGACACCAAGGATTGCCACCAGAAGCCAGGAGGGAGGCATGCGTGGGACAGTTCCTCCCTCAGAGCCCCAGAAGAGACCAATCCTGCCAGCACTTTGACTTTAGACTCCTGAACCATGAGAGACTATATTTTTGTTCTTTGAAAGGTGCCCAGTGTGTGGTCCTTTGTCCTGACAGCCCTGGAAACGATTGCACCCCAATGCCTGGCCCGTGCTGAGTTGGCCGTTGCTAACCAGCACCACCCTCGCCCTCACACTCTGCTACAGTGGCCTGAGTCCTGCCTCCTTCCCAAGGAGGACAGGAGGGGCCAGGGACCTGGAAGAGGTGGGGTCTCTGCTCCCAGGAAGGTTGTGTCTTCCTTTATCCTTGTCCTGACTGTACAACTGCTGCTAGGCCCAGTGGATGCTAGCTGCTGCTCCTTGACAACCTGCTCTGTGACCTTGGGCATGCATCTGTGCTCTGCCTGCCCAAGAGCCCCGGGAGTCCCTGCTCTGTGCCCTCCAGGGGGCCATGGCTCCCCGAGACTAAGCAGCCCTACTCTGAGGCCTCCCGCCACAAAGCCATCACAGTTACACAAACCAGGTTGCCTCCCACGGCCGCTCTGTCAGACTCGAGCTCCACTGTCGGCCAGCCTGTGGCTCCAGGTCGCAGTGGCCATCCCATGCCAGAATGCTCACAAAGACCACTATGGGCCTAACGGCCACCACACACAAGTGCCGAACCTGCTCTGCTCACCTCCAGAACTCATCACAGGCCGGGTGCCTAGAAGGCCCTCCACGATGAGTGTGAGTGAATGAATGCCCTGTATGCCACATGCTTTTTCTGAGGCCTTGAAATGCAGGAAGAGCAGATTTTCTGGCCTCACCCTCTCCTCCTGGTCTCAATTTGTCTCCCAGTCCTGGTGCAGGGCTGGGATAAACGGAGTACACTCCACCCAACAGCCACAGGTGAGAGGACGGCCTCCTAGCTCAAAGGAGCTGGGGTCCACGGGGTCTAATTCCCCCAGGGAGACCCGTCCCTCTCATCTCACCCCCAACCAGAGACTGTTTAGCCAAACCCACCGGCCCAGCTGCCAGAAGTCAGTGAGGAGCTCTCTCTAGGTGTTCCCAGCAGGAAGGGGTCCCACACACCTCGGCCTCAGAACTGTTTTCTCTGGATAGAAACAGGAAGGCAGGCAAGGTTCCCCTACCACGGCTCCCCCAAGCCTCCAGAGGAGCCTCCAGCCACCACCTGGCTCTGGGGACTAGGCCAGGCTGACCTGCGGTGGGGGCTGCAGAGCATGGGTTCCCAGCTACAGGTCAGAAGACCGTGCCCCCTGAAAAGTCCTGGCCAGAGACAGCCCCACTGCCCTGATACCCAGACCGAGCAATACCCTACCCTCCCCAACCAGATATGTATACAATGACCCACTAATGTGTCACTTACTGGTCTGCACATCACACATCACAGGGGAGTCAGGCTCCTGCATGGAGAGAGAAAGGAGAAAGTTGCTTCAACCACCCCTCTGGGATGCACAGGAGCAAGGTTTTCCTCATCTCCTACCCGGGACACCAGCGAAAGATCCCACTGCCTCAGGCTCGATTTGTCCCAGCTTCTCTCTCACCTCAGAGGTCGCCCTTGGCTCCAGTCACTCTCCTAGCAGGATCACCACTTGGGCCCACCTCAGCTCCTTTGCCCATGCTGGGCCTCCTACCTGGAATGTCCCCCCAACTTCTGTTGTCTGTGTGTGAAAAACCCCCTGCCCGCCTCCCTGGGGGTCGTCTCAAAGCTCCATCTGCACTCAGGCCTTTCTTGGCCAGCACCACACCAACACCTGCCCATCCCTCTCCTCCGAGACCCCTCCTCTCACTGAGGGCCCCTTCATCCACTGACCACGCCTGCCACTAGACCCCCGTTTCCTCCTCTTGGGAAATCCCAAAGCTCTGCTTCCTCTGCCACCACAGAAGCCACATGAACACAGAGCCTGAGAGCTCGGCCTGCAGGGGAGGAAACTCTGGGACCTCCTGTCTCCCTCCTACTGCAGCACTTCTCAGCCCTCCGGCCATGGTGACTGAAGAGTATGTGTGGAATATGAGTCATGCAGGAAGGCAGACTGGGTGCGCTGGGCTCCTACTGCAGGCTCCCTTTTCCCTCTGTGCCCCCCCATGCCTGAGTACCCAAGATCCCTCCCACCCCCACCCCAAGCCCTCACCACCCCCAGCCCAGCACCAACCTGTTCCCCAGCCTTTCCATGAGGCACTGGCTGTGGCAGGGCCATGTCCAGCCTGTGCAAGAGCCATGCCACCAACCTGCAAGTGGGGGAGAGTTCGTGGGGAAACTGAGACCAGAGTCAGTTCCCTCCCAAAGCAGACATCAGCCTGCCAGAAGGCAGACCAGAACCCAGTTCTCCAGCCCTGAAGACCATTGCCCCCTACCCCCTCCCCTCAGCTTCCTTAGGCAGGCTCCTGGCTGCTGCTCAGACCTCAATGAGTAACTCAGTTTCCCCAGGCCCCCAGAGGGCATTTCAGGCCCTTCACACTCTGTCAGGGGTCAAGCATTTGGCAGTACCTATCCTGATTTTAAATGCATGTATCCTAAAAAAATAAATTAAAAAAAATGGATGTATCCTTTGGCCCAACAACCCCATATCCTCTGATTTGTCCTACAGATTAACTTGTGCTTGTGTGAAATGATGCCTCTACAAGGCTGCTGGTTACAGCAAAAGAGTGTTGAATGCAGCAAAAAACAAACCCATATGTCCACTGAATGGTTAAATAAAGCTGGTGCATCTATACAGTGGAGCACTATGGAGCCATTGAAAGAATGAAGCAGACCTATATGTACAAAACCACTTCTAAGATACATTTTTAGGTGGAAAAAGCAAGATGCAGAACAGTATGTATAGTTGGCAGGTTTTGGGTGTTTAAAGGAGCAATGTGCTCCCAAGCTTGTCTGTGCACAGAAACTGTGTGGAAGGATGAGAAGCTGCCTTGCGGGCACCCTGGGAAGGGGCGCTGGGAACCCCTTTGTATTTTCTCCCAGGTGCATGTGTTACTTTTGTAACTTAATAAGCTAGTGTGGTGAAGGCTGAGTGTTGGGCTGAGACAAGGCACCGATCTTGCTCCCCATGGGAGGTGTGACATGTGGGGGACTCACCTGGCAGGGTCCCCCGGGGGCAGCAGGGAGGAAGCCTGGAGACCGGGCTGGGGCTCTGGAGTAGGCTCCTCCTCAGGCTCTGGGGGGCCAGAAGTGGGCAAGGGGGGGCTCTCTGGGGCCTGCAGCATAGGCTCCTTTTCCAAGGGGGATTCTGGGGGCTCTAAGCAGGAGGAAGAGTCAGAAGCTAGAGATGATGTGGTGAGGCTCCTTGTGACCCCCTCAAGGGCTCAAGGACCAGGTTTGAGGTGCCCACATGACTAAGTGGGGAGTCCCTTGGGACCATTCCAACTACGCCTATCATCAGACAGACCTGGAACTGAGGCACAGGGGACTTGTCAAAGACCTCCCAAAGCTGTCTCAGGCCACCAGCTTCCCAGCCTGGACCGGGGTGAGGTTCCAGGGCCCACTACAACAGCCTTCTCCCTGCAAGCCCTGAACCCCTTCCTAGCCTGGGTGGGAGCTCAGGTCCTCACCCAGGATCTCTCAGACCCCGGTTATACCCCCAGCCCAGGCAGCCCCTCCCCATGTCCCCTCCCTGTACCTGGGACCAAAGCAGCCTCTGCAGTCTCCTGTCCCCAGCCCTGGATCACAAACGGGATGAGGTCACGGAGTGAGCACACCCCGGGCATTCCCTGCCTGGCCAGCTGTGCCCCGTCCTTCCCCTGAATCCCCCTGCCCCTCTTGCAGTCGCTTCTACCCATGAAGGACCCTCCAGGAAGGAAAGCACCCACTCTGTGAGACCGCAGGGGTGGGGATAGCCCGCCGGAGTAGACAGGCCCTTCCCAGGCCCCAGAAACTCTCCCAGGGGGTCCACTGCCTGCTCCCCTTTTCCCTCGACTTACCTCAGAGGCTTTTGGAGGCTGAGGTAGCACTTTCTCCAGACTCTGCTCAAGCCACCTGAGCAGCCAGGGCCTGGGCCTGTAGGGGGACAGGTGGGTTAGCAGAGTGGCTTAGCCACACTGTCTAGACCGCCTACTTGGGTCCCGCCTCACCAGCCCTTCGTTGTCCTCACACCTCTGCACAGCATGAGATGTTTGGATGTTTTCAAAGGCTCTCAGGTGGTGAGGGACTTCCAGCAACCTCAGATTCAGACTCAGGGCTGGACCAGCCTCAGGACAAGAGGCCCAGGCTTGGCCTCATGGCCACATGAGGACTGGGGGCTGCTTGGAGACCCCTGAGGCATGGGGGGCTCCATGTGACTAGGACAGATAGGTCTGGTTTCGTGTGTCTGGGTGCAGTGCAGTCACATAGGGCCCCACGCTTAGAAGGGCCTGTTTTGGTTTAATGCTCTGTTGTCGCAGTGTTAAACCCTTCATCATTTTTTAAAAGTAGTCCTGCATTTTCATTTTGCACTGGGTCCCACAAATTACGTAGCTGGTCCTGGGGCAAATGTTAGGTCCCAGATACATCTAGCCTCCACGCAGCTCCTCCCTTTTGAGAGAACTCCATGTTAGAGGAGGACCTCACCACCCAGGTATGGCCCCCCCAAAATGCTGGAAAGTCCTCCGAGTGCCTTCATCTTAAATCGTTTTGCTGGTCCCACAAGTCAGCCGAGTGGCCCTGGGCACCCCTGGTCTGGGTGGCTTCTAGGGAACAAAAGAAGGACTACAGAGAGAGCCAGAGTGATGCATGAATACATGGAGTTGTGAATGTGTAATTCATTAACTCATCCATGTGCTGAGTCCTTGCTATGGGAGGCCCTGGGGGTTCAGCAGTCACCAGGACAAGAGTGTAAAGAAGGAATGAGGGAAGGAAGCAAGGGGGGACCGAAGGGCTGGAATGAGTGGAGGGGAAAGCACGACTCTGGATTCCCAGCAGAGATTGCAAACTGGACGCTTCTGGCTTCTTTTGGGGGGCCCACAGTACTCTGGAAACTTCAATTAGTTGGCAATGTCTAAAAATTAAAGATTTTATATAAAAACCCAAATTTCTAGCTTCTCTTGAAAAACTGGTGTAGCTGGCCTCACTGGGCCCACACTTCCAGGCAGAAGATGCTGGAGCTGAGCAGGGCACCTTCCTGGAGGAAGACACTTGCCACAGTCTTCACCCAGCCTGCCAACAAGGAGATGACAAGGAGCCCCACACCTCGGGCAGCTCTGAGAAGTTCTGCAGCTGAGGCCAAGCTGGGCACCCCTGTGCCCCCCACAGTGGCCTGGGTCCTGCCTCTGGTCTCCACACAGCACCCACCCGCCTGTGAGCAGCTCAGCCATACGTTCCCCCACCCCGACCATCTGGGGCTCTCCCAGGAACAAGCACAACAAACCATGGGCAGCAATAGGGGCCATTGCCCCAATACATGGATGAGAGGCCAGGCCAGGGTCACACACTGAGGTGGTGGACCTGGTTCCTGAGCCTGAGACCTTTGGCTCTGGGCACACTGCTCCCCCATCATACACACTACAGATGAACTCAAGGGCTCCCAAACCGGTGCTCAGAGACAGCTACTCACCCTGTGTCCTGAGCCCCGGTGGCCTCTTTGGGTCCATCTGCAGAAGAAAGGAAGGTGGTCAGCAGTATGAGGCCTTCTCAGAGCCCGCTGGTCAGCCTGACTCAAACCCAGTTTGCAACCTGGGGCCAGTCAGATGAGAAGCTCTGGCCTGTGGCCTCTCCAGGGGGCAGTGCCCATTCCAACCTCCCCTGAATCCCACCACTGAAAAGCCATCCTCACTCCTGGCCTTACCTGAGCCCCCAGCGCTGCGGTGCCCAAGGACTTGCGCCTCTGCCTGCCAGGACAGACAGGTGTGAGCAGACAACCAGGTGCATCAGCCCAGCCTGCCCCTTCCCCACCGTCCCACCCTGCTCCCCGCCCCAGCAGTACCTGAGCAAGGCCCTCCAAGCCAGCAGCATTGCTCGGGGCTTGCCCGCCACCATAGACAGGCTGCGGGATAACCTTCTCCACACGCTTGCTGAGCCAGGTCAGCACCCAGCCTCTGGGACTGCTGAAATACAGAATTACCAGCCCAGCCTCAATGTCCCCAGTGCCTCCCTGGTCTGAGTGACAGTCCACAGTGTCCAAAAGAAATTGGTTTGAGTAGCTCTACCTTCCCCCATAAGACTTCAGACATAGCACCTCCCTTAAGTCTTTCTTTGTGAAAAATGGGGATACCAACCCTCCATGAAGCCAGGCAGGCCAGTGCCATCCTGAGGCCACCCTGTCAGCTGCTCAGCACAGAGCAGGGCAGCTCTATCAAGCCGCTCCCACCTGAGCCTGGCTCCTGGGGTCCCCGTCCTGCACTTGGCCCACATCCTGTGCTCCCTGAGGGTCCCCGTTGGGTGCTTCCTTGTGGCTGAGATGGGTCAGCCCAAATGTGACAGTCACAGACTCTCTGTCTGAGGCTAGCCCCTCAGATAAGCACCAATGGTCTAAACTGTTTGAGCCAACTGGGAGATTTCATGGAAAAGTCTGGATTTCTGGCTTTGTAGGGAAAACAGAAGTTCTGGCCACACTGGATCTACATTTCTCCCAGACACTGAGGACCCTGGCCCCACCCTCCATTTCTCTCGGTCACATTGCCCATTTGGCCCAAGAGACCTCCACTTCTGCCTGAGGCTCCCTTCAGCCAGTTTCCAGGATGTTCAGGCCTTTTGCTGAATGACTGATGGCCTGGGAGCAGTGCTGGTCCATGACGCTCAGGGGTTCCCAGCTTGGCGGTGAGGAACTGGCCCTGACAAGAGGGGAGGTGGTGTAGTACCTGTTCACTTGAGGAACCACAGCGACCTGGGCCTGGTGGTTTGTGGGCAGAGTAGGGGCAGCCTCCTGGATTTCTGGAAAAGAGTCCCTCATATTTAGAGCTAGAGCCTCAGAGGGGCCCATTTCTACCCTACTGGGCAGGCCAAGTCAGAGGCAAGGGAGAGGGGAGAACCCCCCAGGGATCAGAAGGCTCAGCTCAGCTGAAAAGTTCCCAGGCTCCCACTCTCAGCTTCTCTGAGCCTCAGTTTCCTCATCTGTGAAATGGGCCTGCCATCTTCACTGCAAAGCTCTGAGGGAGAACCAGCCCCTCCCCGCTGAGCAGCTCACCTTGAGGGCCTGTGTCAGCTGCAGCCTCTTCCTCCCTCTCGAGTGGCTCCTCAGGTGGCAGGAGGATTCAAACAGGACCACGTAAGCCTCAGTCAGACAGCCTGGTTCAGGCAGGAGCAGTCTCTGGCCCACCCACGAGGGAACCCCCCACACCTCACAGGACCAAACGACTCCCTTCTCACAGTCTTCTCTGTAAGTCAGGAGCCTCACCTCCACCTGTGACATTCTCTTCCTCCCAGACCCTGGGTCCCTCAACCAGGGCAGAGCCCTCACACCCCAGAGGTGGCCCCCAGGCCTATTGCACCCCCCAGGAAGCTGCCTGAGAAGAGGGAGGAATGTTAGAGAGAGTTATGAAGCCTTGGGGCAAGCTGAGAGGAGGAGAGAGGTGAGAGGAGCCCACCAAACACCCAGCCCCCAGTCCTCCCTCTCCTTCTGGGCCAAACTTTCCATTCTCCTCCAGAAGCAGGTGGCATTCAGCTTCTGCAGCTACACCTCCTGCTATTGTGTGCACATGTGTGTATATACAAATGTGCATGTGTGTACATACACACCAACATGTGTCTGCCACTCTCTCATGCATTTACATATATGAGCAGACACATGCATATGTGAGCACATGTGTGTATGTGCAGTGATACAAAGATATGTGTATACACAATGCATACATACACAGACACAAAAATAAGTGTACCTGCCCACACATGCACTGTACATACAAGACACAAAGCATATGTGCATATACATTTGCATATACACACACAGATATTTGCACCCACACATGCACATATACACTCTCAGTCACGTAAGCATAGGCATATACGCACATATACATGCTTACTCGCACTGTCACACACATATTCATGAACACATCATTTCATATGTATACCAATGCAATCAAATACATACACAGATTAATATACTGTACAGACACACAAACATGTGCATATGCACATATATATGCATGTATACCTGCACACCCAAAGCTCTGCTTCTGAACACACATAATACATGAACATACACTCAGAGAGATATAAAATATGTATATGTACAAACATGTCCATATGCACATATACACCTACATGCACAGATTCTCAAACATGTGCATACATGCACAAAGCATGGATATACTCACAGACTCAGAAACATGTGCATGCACATACACTTAGACACACTAGTATGCTCCACACACATGGAACTACAAACACGTGAATGCATGTGCATGTGAACACATATGTGCATACATGCACATGTGTGTAAATATGCCTTGTTCACGCACTGCAATTTGCTGGTACACATGTAGGCCAGGCATACCACTAGGGACATGAGGCTCACACATATGTACATACACATGTGTTCACATGCAGACACATGCATGTAGATCCTATATCTAGGTAGTTCTATACCCACTGACAGTCTTTCCTCTCCCAGGAATGCCCCACCTCTTCATCTCCTCCACAGTTACAATCTGGCCCAGCCCAATGTGTCTAGGAAACACTCCCCACCATCTCCCAAGTACCAAAGTTACGATGATTCTCTCCCTCCTCTGAGCAACCGGAGTTCTCAGTCTGATACGCCTATTTGGCCCTCCCAGAAGGGCAGAGTGAGGCCAGTGTTGGAGCTCACCACATTTCCTCAACATCCCCGTCTCCTGATAGAATGAATGCCCTGACTGGCTACGTGTCTGCAGATCCCCAGGGGCAATACCACATTCATCACTGTGCTCCCAGCATTGTGCCCAGGCCTGGCATTAATTAGAAGCTAACTCAAATCTATCTAATTGAGCCTCTGAATTAGCTGTCATCAGGCTCCTGAACAGATGGGCTGCAGAACTGGAAAATTTTGAAGTGCTTGAAGGAAAATTATAGAGCAATGCTGCTCTGAGTATGATCCATGAATCAGTGTCAGTCTGCTAACTGTTACTGGTATACAATGAATAAGCAGTTCACACCAGAATGTACACCAACACACTGTTTGCTTCATGGAGAAAGTCTTCCTACAAAACAAATGCCACCTGAAGTAAGCAGTCAGCCTGGTGATACAGTAAATTTTAATTTAAATTCTGGCCAGCTGCTAATCTCAGATGGACTGCTAACAAGTAGTTGTAGAGGGTAAGGGGAACTGGCTACTTTGAGTACCTCTGTTCTAGACTCTAGAGGTTGGCAAACAATGGCTCATGGATCAAATCGGGCATCCTGCTTGTTTTTGTAAATAAAATTTTATGGAAACACAACCATGTTCATTCATTTAAATATTGCCCTTAGCTGCTTTCATATTACAAGGAATGAGTTGAATAGTTAATAGAGATGGCATGGCCCACAAAGCCTAAAATATTTACTATCTAGCCTTTTACAGAAAAAGCCTTCAGCAAGTGCTCTCCACTGTCCAGGCTCAGTTTCCTCACTTTGTACAATGAGGGTGCCAGACCAGGCGACCTCCACATTTCCTTCAGGCTCCAACTTTCTCTGTTGTGGAAGGTGCATGAGGGGCAGCTGATGCAAGCTGGGGCTTCCCTGGGCAGCAAGGCGAGAGTGCCCCTCCTCGCCCTCCGCTTCTTACCAGGGCCTCATCCCTGAGCTCAGCCTCCTCAGGGGCTGCTTCAGGCTCCTGCTCCGGTGCCAACTCCTCCTCCTCCTGCTTGGTCTTCTGAGGTGTCCCTGGGGGTTGAGGCAGCACTTTCTGGACCCAGCCCAACATCCTGACACCTGTAGGGGACAGAGGCTTTAGGCCTCCCCAGAGTGCTCACAGTTTCTCCCACCATTTGAGGGCCGCTTCTGTGGGTTACACATACCCTTTTCTCTTATTATCTTTAAACATGTTTTTGCAATTACATCTCCAGGTATTCACCTTATAGAAATACTCAAGCCCCAAACATGTGTATAAAGAAGTTCGTTACAACAGTGTTATGGCCAAAGATAAAAAAGAAAACACCCAAATATGCATCAGTAGGAAACTGCGAAGTACATAAATGTTTATCTGTAAGAGGGGCACATAGTAAATAAATTATAGTACATCCAGTAATGGAATACTATGGAGCCATTTAAAAAAAGAAGTAGATCTATTTGAACTAACATGGAAAGATACACACACTCTGGACTTCAGTCTTGAGCAAATCAGTTGAACTCTCCATGCCTCAGTTTGCTTGTCTGTAAAATAGGGATGTTAATAGCACCTCTCTTATAGAGATAATTATCAGGATAAAATAAACTTATAAGAATAGCTACTGGCACACACTGAGAGTTTAATAAATGTTGACTGTGACTATTATTTGGTGAGAGGCAAAATCATTAATTGTAGCCTATCATGTTCAACATAATTATAAATTTTTAAAAATATATTATGAGTAGCATATGAATGGGAAATCATTTTTATTTAATGTAAGATAAAAATTATCCTATTTCATGCTTAAAAAATTTTAAAGACAAAATGTGTAAACTCCCAGTCCTGGAGGGGCCCTTCTGAGGCAATGCCCCACCCCTACCCCAGCCACGGGGGACAGCTTCTCTGCTGCTCCCCTGCCAGGGACCCTGCCTGGCCCCAGGCTGAAAAGAGTAGGCACAAGGCCGAGGATGCCTGCCCCAGAGCCCAGCTTCCACAGCTCCTGCACTTCTGCTCACAGCTCTGACCTCTGTCCCCACTCCAGCCTCAGCAACCCAGCTTCTCCTATGAGGCTGGGGCAGGGACACAACTCTGAGTGGCGAGTCAAAAAGGTGAACTTGGGCCAGAAATGACCTCTCTGGCCTTCCATTTCCTTGTTGGGTGTGGTATAGACCCAGTAGTTGCAAAGGTTGGTAGAACCCAAGGTTACATATTTAGGGCAGCAGATTCCACCAACCCCAGCCAACCATAGGCAGGCATGAGCCAAAACTGAGCTAAGTGCTGTCCATGATCCACTCATCCTAGTTCTCACATTTCCAACCCGGCCTCAGGAAAATAAATATTTCATCCCCATTTTACAGCTAAGGAAATGGAGGCTCAGAGAGGTCAGTAAGTGGCCAAGCTGAGTTTACATGCAGGTCTGCCTGACTCCGTATGTCCCACATCTACCCCCAGTGGTACTAACATTTGCCCAGGCCAGTCCTACAAACCCCGTCCCAACAGGCAGCAACTCTGGCTTGTGTTTCTAAACCTTCTGGAAATGACTAGGGAAGCCTTCCCCATTCCCAATTTTTCTTCTTCCCCCAGCCCCAGCCATTCCTCCCAGATGGGAACATTTGCAAGTCCCTCCCATCTTTTCGCCAGGTCCCTGCTGATTCCTTGCTGTGGAGGGAGGCCGGATGGGAAGGGGCACTGAGAGTGGTAGTCCAAGGCAGTTATGGTGCCTGACCACCAGCCGTTCAGAATCTTCTGGGAAGCTGGTGAAAATACAGATTCCTCAGCCTTGCTAAACCCTCTGCATGACCTGGAACCTGCATTTCACAAGCTGCCTTGAAGATCCACTAAGGTTTGAGTCCCACTGGGAAGAAGGAAGCCCAAGTTTCCAGCCTTGCCCGGTTCTCCATGTCTAAATGCCTTGCTGGACGGAGAGCACAGGGTCCCATCAGGGTCCCACTGAACCACCACCCCATCCTGAGTTACCTGTTCTGATGCTAACCACCAGCCAGGAATTGCCTTCTCACTGCCTCTGGCAGCTGGCCTCTCAGGCACAGGGGGGATTAATTGGCAGCAGCCAGGCCGTGTGCAAAGGATTAGCAGGTGCTGAACAGAGGTGGGGAGTGGAAGAGAGGAGGTTGATGCTCAGGAAGCCAGCAGCTACTCTCCAGGGGATCTAGGCCCCAGAGAAGAAGCCTCATGTGGTCTTGGTTTGGGGCACCATGAGTTGCCAGGGGATCTGCCCAGCTACCTGGGCCTTGGTTCCCCACACACCTTGGCCAAGCCACAGAGTGGTGGGAAAACAGTGTGGAGTCCCCATATGATTCTGGAAGACTCCTCAGGGTGGCAAGGGCTTATCAGCCCTCAGTCAGCAGCAGCTGGAGGCACACCCCAGCTCCCCAGCCCCAATGCCGGGCTCGAGCAGAGTCTCCCTAGCCCAGAGTCTTGGGCAGCGTAGGTGGGGTCTCAACAGCCCCAGTCTTGGACCTAAAGAATGGCTGGGTCCCCAGGGCTGGGCCTTTAGGAAGGATCCAAGGACTGACAGGTAACTGACTGAATCTGAGCCGACCCCCCTGAGCTAAGGGTAGACTAGAAAGGACATGGAATTCTCAGCAGAGAGGGCAAGAGGGCCAGAGGCCCAGCGAAAGGGACTCAGTGAAGTGACAGGATTGGGTGCAGAGGGAGTAGAGGGATGATAAGCAAAGGGATGGGGGCTTGACTTGATCATCTACAACTTTTCTCAAGCTCTTCCTGTGTACCTACAGCGTGCCAGCCTGGGTACATTGAGCAGGACAGGCACAGGACCTGCCTTCACAGAGCTTGCACACCAGTGGAGGAGGTAGAAATAAAAAAGACTAACAATGAATAAAGAAATATTGCAAAGTATGCTGAGTGCCATAAAGGAAACAAACAGGGTAGAGACATGTGCAGCAGTGGGTAGAGGGGTGTAGGCAGGCAAGAGGTAGATATTTAAGATGAGCCATGAAAAGCAAGATCTGAGTGAATGGTGCTCCAGGCAGAGGACACTGCAAGGGTGAAAGTCCTGAGACTGGAATGAGCTTGGATGCTCCTGAGAAACAGGGAAGGGCTGGGAGCTCAGGGGATGCAGGGGAGAGTGGTGGGCCAGAGAAAGGCCAGGATGGATCACGTAGGGCCTGTAAGCCATGGTAAAAAGATTGGGCATTAGGTGATGAACTAAGGAAGCCGTGATGGTTTGAAGACGGAACAGACATGATCTGTGTGGCTGTTGCATAGTGGGCAGAAAGCAGGAAACTGCCCATGAGGCTGCAAAGGGACAAACCAATTTGTGACTGCATAACCCCTGGGCTCTCCTTTCTGTGCCAGACCTCTATATTCACCCCCCTATCCCCACTAAGACAACTAGTGGGGGAGAATGTTCTTTCTGCCAGCAAGGCCAAATACCAATGGCAAGTTCAAGGTGGCCCCTGCCCCTCCTCTGTCAATATGCCAGGACGCAGGGGTCAGGGCTCCTGGCCATGGTATCTTCAGCCAGGCCCCGGCAGGAGCAGTGATCTGTGCCTGGGCCTGTGTCATCACTTGACGGAAGCCAGTGCAAAGAAGAAAGGGGCTTGGACTAGGCAGGTGGCAGCAGAGATAGAAAGGGGAGGACAAGGAAAAGGGACATGTGGAGGGTGCTCAGTTTGGCAACTGGTGTCCTTTACAGAAAAGAGGAAGCCTGTGGCTGGTGGGCTGGAAGAAGAGTTTTGGGGGGAAACCATGGACTCTACTTTGTTAAGATGTCCAAGGGTTATCCAAGTGGAAATGGGCTAGGTGGCAAGGGGTGTGTGTCGAGTCTGGGGAGAGGTGGACTGGAGATAGAAAATTTGGAGGCGTCAGCTCAGCTTGTAGATAATGCTTAAAGCCACAGATTGCAATCACCTGGGAAATCTAACCTAACTAAAGACAAGAAGACCAAAGCTGGTGCTGGGAACACTGGCACATTGGAGGCTGGGAACAGGAGGAAGAGCCATTAAAGGAGACTGAAGTTGCTGCTGGTGAAAGTAGAGAAGACCCAGAAGCCGGTGTGCTGCTGTAAGCCAGCGCCGCAGAGTGCAGGGAGCACATAGACGGCAGAGTGCCCATGTGGGGCCTGTGTCCCTGGGCTGAGCAACCTGAGGTCAGACCCAAAAGCCATCACCAATCCATATATAAAAAGCTCAGAAAGGGCAATTGTAGCCTGTCTTGCCTATGGCTGCAAACACAGGTAGCAAAACTATAAAGAAAAGCAGTGGTTATACGATGTGGCAGGAGAGCAGTTACTGCTTGCAGAGCATTGGGACCAAGAGGTGGTATGTGGAGGCTTATAGGCACTGGCAGGACCCTATGTCTTGCTTTCTTTAGTACCAATTTTTAAAAACAACTCTACTGAGGTATAATGTATATTCCATAAGATTCACCCATTTTTAAACATACCACTGTATGATTTTTTAGTAAATTGATCTATGCAACTAGCACCATCTAGTTTTAGAACATTGCCATCGCTCCAGTAAGATCCCTCCTGTGTGACTGGAATCACCCCCATTCCCACCGCCTGCCCTTGACGGTCGCTAATCTTTCAGTCTCTAAAGATTTGCCTTTTACGGACATTTAGACAAATGGATCATACAGTATGTGGAGTGTTCTTATGTCTGATTCCTTTCATTTAACATAATGTTTGTGAGGCTCAACCACACCACAGTTCATTTCTTTTTAGTTCCCAAGAGTATTCCATGGTATAGACACAACACAGTCTATTTATCTATCTTCACTAGTCCACGGATGCTTGAGTTGTTTCCACTTTCAGGTTATTATAAATAATGCAGGTATGAATGTTTGCAGGCAAGTCTTTGTGTGGACATATATTTTCATTTCTCTTGAGAAGATTTTTTTGGGTCATATGGTAAATTCAAGTCTCACATTTAAAAAAAACTCTGCTAAACTGTTTCTGCAAGGCAGAATCCCATGTCTAGACCTGAATGGTAGTTACATTGGGTCTCACTTTATAAATAATCTGTGACATTATGTATTTAGGTATTTTCTGTATTTTGTTGTATTTTATAACTTTAAATAATTAAAAAATAAACTGGGGTGGTGGTGAATGGAGTGAATTCTGGGAAAGTTCTTACTGTAAGGGGTAGGACTTGGGGATGCTGCTCTGGGGCTATAAGGAGCACTGGAGGAGAAGCAGCTAGGGAGCCAAATCCTATATGATTCTCATGGTAGGGGTCCCAGAACCCATCAGGTCAGCACCTGGGCAGGTGTATGGAAAGCATATGCCAATATATGCACATAGGTTCGACTGTCCCCAGGGTTTCCTCACCTGGGGGTCTGTGTCCAATGGTGGTGGGAAGGCCCCAGGGCTTCAGGAAGGCTGAGGCATTCATAACCACCTGGGAAGGAGGATGAAGCTGGAGGCCTGCAGAAGTCTGGGGGTGGAGTATCACCTGCTAATTCCTATCTTGCTGAGGCCACCACTCTCCCTGATCCCCTTATGCTGACAGTGGATACTGGCTGCCGCTAATCTCCACCCTGAGACCCAAGGGCTGGCAGGCAGGGCAGGGCCCTCTTCCCTGAGGTTTGCAGGGAGGGGTGGTCACAGACACTCCTCATGGCAGGGCGTAAGGCCCTTGCCTAACACAGATGGGAACCTTGAAGCCCAGAGAGAAATAGTAACTAGCCCAAGGTCACACAGCCTGCCCTGGCCAGCCCTGGTATGGCTACGCCCAGGGAGCCCAAGCTCCCTGTCCAACATTTCCCAACATGCCAAGCCTGTGCTGACACCTGGGAGACGACAGCCTTCAGGAAAACTGAAAAGGGTGGAAGGCAGTGCACAGGAACCTTAACAGCAGGCTCTCCTGCTCAGAGTCTGCAGTTCTCAGGGTTGCCGAGGAGAGGGTGCCCTCACAATCAGGCTGCAGAGGGCATTGTCTCTGCAGAATGGTCCCTTATTCTCCCACTGTCCCATAAGGCACTGGGGTCCACCCATCTCCCTGCCTCTTATCCCCACTGAGCAGTTGGCAGAGCAGAAAACCCATAAGCCTGTGCACCTGTGTGTGCAGACAAGGTAGGAATTGACAGTGGGTCAGGAGAGGGGGTCCTCTCTTCCCTCTTGCCCCTGCTTCACTTCCCTGTCCTCCCCAAGCAGGCAGCTTCCCCTGCTGTCACTACGCCTTTTCCATGCTCCTCCATGGTTCAAGGTCCTCTCTCCTCCTGCCCACCTCTATCTTTCAGCTCTAACTAGAGTCAGGAAGAAAGTAAACTGAGTCGACATATTATCAGTAAGGTTTCAATGGCTGAAAGGCTCTGGGAATATCTGCTTTTTAAAGAGGGGCACTGAGTAGCCAGCAGTGTTTTTCTAGTTCATATCTATCATGTCTCTCCCCTTATTTAAAACTTTGCTATGTCTCCCGGTAGGATTTTGAATAAATGCCAGATACCTTCACTAAGGCCAAAAGTCCATAATTAGCTACCAGAAGCATACTGAGCTAAATTCTGAACACACTTGCTACTGTGGCTTCCTGCTCATTATTTAAGAATAGAATCAAATGCTACCTCTTTTAGACCATTCCCTGAATGCCCCAAACCAGCCTCTCTGGACACACACACCCTATACTGACCTGTCAGAAGCCCAAACACATATTGTGTGTGTGTGTGTGTGTGTGTGTGTGTGTGTGTGTGTGTGTGTGTGTGTGTGTGTGTGTGTCTGAATGTCCCTGACACCACTTGGGGAGCTCCTAGCACACAGTAGGTACACAGTAACTGTTGGACAAGTAGACAAATCAGCAGTGGCCAAGGTTGCGGTCTCACCTACAAGGGTGACTGGTCGGATGTCTCTGCTTCTCAGCCATGGCCAGCATCATTGACCTGGAGCCCTGGGAGGACGGCTCCATCAACATGTACGCATCCCCAGCCATCCTGCTCCCGGTGGAGCAGCAGCGCAACCAGTTGGCGGGTGTGAAGCAGCAGCTCTACCACCCAGCCCTGCCCAGCCTCCGCCGCATGGACATGGACTCCGTCAGGGCCTGCCTTTCCCATGAGCACTGCCAATCCTCCACCTACTGCTGCAAAGGTCAGGTCCCCTGGCTGCCACTGGCGCTGGGGTTCCCCTGGGCCCTTAGGGAAGGGTTGGATGTATCGAGTAGCATGATCCATCTGAGCCAGTCCCAGCTCTGCTACTCCCTGCCCAGGAAACCTGGCAAGGTCTGAGCCTCTGTTCCTTTATCTGTCAAATGGGGATGATAACAGGGCCTGCCTCATAAGGCTGTTGAGATCAAAATGAGATCAAACACAAGAAATGCTTAGAGCAGTGCCTGGCACAAAATACTGGGACTATTATTAATTGAGAGAGAACTGTGCAGAGATCGGTAGTTATAGGGATACAAAATAACATAAAAAATAGCAACTTCTGCTCAATCATACTTGTACGTCCCATGAACGAAAGGAGGACACCTTGAGCCTTTGGGGTAAAAGAAGCCACAGGGGCCCAAGAAATAACCCTTCATCCACTGAGTAGCTTGGATGTGGAGTTGGGCATGCCCCCACAGACACATGTGTTCATTTCAGCATATTTATTAAGCACCTACTTTGTGCTGGACAGTCTGCTGTGTTCACAGGGAAACAAAGGCATTCCGGCTTAAGGGAATATCATGTGCAGAGGCCTGGAGGGCAAAAGCTACATGAGGTGTTGGGTGAACTTAAGGGGTTTGGTTGGGCTGGAGGAAAGGTCTGTGGGGACAGCAGAAGCTACAGCTGGAGACAAGAGCCCTGTTGCTAAGGTCAGAGGCCTGGACTTTTCTGGGGAGAAATAGAAACCTCTGAAGACCTTAAGCAGAAAAGAGATCTGAGCATTCTCGGGATGGGTGTGGGGTGGCCAGAGGGACCCAAAGTGGATGAAGGGGCATGGGGCTTAGGTCACTGGGAGGGACCACCGTCTTCAGGAGGGAGTCATAGTGCCATGGCCACTGGGGAGGACTTCAGAAGGTATTTAGGAGATAGAACAACAGGATTCAGTGCAGTGGTAGAAGGACAAGAGGGGGAGTCTAGAATGATACCCAGGTATCTAGGTTTTTAGGGGAAGTTCTTGATTTAGATATATATTTTCTTGCAAGTATGGGCTATTAATAAAAGTAATGGAGTCACAGGCTTGAAATTCAAAATGCTGTAACAATGTACATTTTAACAAGTCTCACTCCTCCCCCGACTTACAGGTGACCCCTGTTAGTTTCTAATGTATCCTTACATTGTTTACTAATACAAATACAAACATATGTTCTTTTGCACCCCAACTTTTTATTAGGAATGTATTTATTACAGAGAAAAGTTCAAAGAATATACTTTGAACACCCATTACCTTCTACCTGCTTCAAATTAATGTTTTGCCATATTTGTTCTCTCTCACTCTCTCAAACACACACACACACACACACTTTAGCAAGGAGCTCCCAATGATAAGAACAACCTCCTATGAAGACAAGTAGTGACTCTGTGGCATCTTACTACACTGATGGACAGTGACTTCAGTGGGGTATGGGGGGGACTTGATAATATGGGTGAACGTAGTAACCACAATGTTTTTCATGTGAAACCTTCATAAGAGTATGTATCAATGATACCTTAATAAAAAAAATAAAAATAAAGAACAACCTCCTATATGATATAACACCATTACACATCTAGGAATGTTAACAATCATTCTATAACATCTAATATTCAGCCCATATTAAAAATATCCCCAATTATCCCCAAAGATGTCTTGTATAACTTGAAAAATTGTTTTGGAACTGGGATTCAACCTAGGATTACGGCTTACAATTGGTTGTTATATCTCTTTAGTAGTAGTCTAAAATAGTCCACCCACTTTCCATTTTTCCCTAACAATAATGACTTTCTGGGTCCAAAACAGGTAAGTTGTAGACAGCCCTTGTTTCCCTATGGTGTTGTTTACCTTGATAATGTATTTTCTGTAAGCTAGAAGCTAGGTGTGTAGAGGCTTGATTAGCCAGGTAAGACTTTGCTGGCTAGAATCTTTCAAAGGTGATGGATGCTGTGTTTGCCAAAATGCTTCAGCAGGAGGCACATAATGTCACTATTCTACCACTTATGATGCTAAGTTTGATGACTTGGTTAAGTGGTGATCTGAATGTATAGTCTCTGCCTCCAATCGTCTCAGTTTTAGGCTTTACATTTAGCAAAAGTGACATACGGCATTTAGTCTTCTACACCTTGCAGGTCTTGTATGGAGAACTTCTTTTAGTTTTAATAGCTGTGTAGTGCAGATATATCATAGTTTATTTAACTATGTGTCTTATTTGTGTCTGTCCTTTAATGACAGAGATTTAAGTTGTTTCCAATCACTTTCTAACACAAACAACACTGAAATGGTTAAGCCTTCTGCTTACATTATTTCCCAGTTGTACAGCTGTGAAATGGGATAAATTCCCTGAAGCATGACTGTGGGATCAAAAGGCATGTGTATTTATAATTCTGATAGATATTGCCAATTGCTTTCCATAGGCTCCAATCAATTATAGCCTCTCTGGCAACTTACAGCAATGGCCCTGTTTCCAATAATTTCACTAACTTTTGGATTGTTTCCAATAGGGTAGGCAAAAATTGATATCTTAATGTAGTTTTAATATGCATGCATTTTATGAACGAGGTTGAGAGTCTTTTTTTCATCTGTCTAGAGACCATCTGTATTTCTTGTGTTTGTGTATGAACTACTCAGGCATGTTGCTTATCCATTTTTCTTTTCTTTCTTTTCTTTTTTCTCTTTTTCTGGTCTTAATTTCTAGGAGCTTTTTCAGCATTAGGGAAATTGCACATTATCTGTAAAACAGGTGGAAATATTTTTTTCCCATTCGTGTGTTGACTTCTCTTATGTTGTTTATGACATGCAGAAATTTATTTTGATGTAGCCAAAGTTATCAGTGTTTTCTTTAAGGCTACATGATTTTGAATTAGAGTTGGTAAGGCCTTTCCCACCCAAGGTTATAAAGAAATTTAACCATGTTTTCCTTGGGTACATCTATGGTTTCAATTTTTTACATAGAAAGCTTCAATCTATTTGGAGATTATTCTCTTGTAAGGGGTGTGTTAAGTAATAATCTACTTTATCTTAGACTTTTATGAAGTTTTTTGAAATACTTCAAAAAACCTTTAAAGCAGTTGGACCAGACCTCTCCTGTGTGGACTTGAGTAGGCTGGTGGAGGAGGCACCTCTTATCCCTTTCTCTTCCTTCTTCAGATGACTTTGACAATGCCTACTTCACCCTCCTCGGCGTCCCCAACAAACCCCTACAGTGCTTGGTGAGTGTCGTTCCATCCTGGCCCTGGGTTGCTCAGGGAAGAGTGTGCCAGAGTTCCACCTGCACCTCGGGTCCCGGGCTCTGCTCCGCGCTCTTCCTCAGCTACCTGCTTGGGACCCTGCCGCCTTTCCATCTCTCTCACAGGCTTTCAGGCATCCCCTGGGTCAGATGGGTCAAGATTCAGCTTCGGCCCAAGAGGGTGGGGGTGGTCTGGGCCGGCCCCTCAGACTTCTGCACCTCTGCCCGTGGTCACGTGCCCTGACTCCTATGGCCTTGGCAGGACATCACGGCGACCGGCCAGAGGCTCCGCAACAGGTGCCGCGAGGGAAAACTGGCGCCCATCACTCCGGGCATCAACCGGGTCGACTGGCCCTGCTTTACGCGCGCCATCGAGGACTGGTCCCACTTCGTGTCCTCCGCCGGCGAGTTCAAGCTGCCCTGCCCAAGCAAGAGGGGTCAGTCTTCGCCGCGCAGAGGGTGCCCTAGGGCGGGAGAGGCGAGCCGCTGGGTCCCTGGAGCAAGGAACCGGAGGCCTGACTGCGGAAAGGAGGATTCGGGAGGGAGCTGCCGCATGGACATGGCGGGGAAGCTGGGGAGCAGCTGGGACACTTCGGGCAGGACTGAGGCGGGCTGAGGGACACAGAGGCGGGGGTCGTCTCGGGGAGGGAGCGGGAGCCAGATCTGGGCCAAGGGGCAGCTCTGGGACCGATGCTGAGCGCAGGGCTAGTTTGGGGGCCTGGCGAGGCAGTCTAGAGACCCGGCTTTTGGCCGGGCAGTTGAGGCAGGATTGGTTTTAGAAGCAGGTGTGGGGCGGGGCTTGATTTGGGGGCGGGGCCCAGGTAACAGCAGGGTCAGAGCTTGTTCTGAGCGGGCTGGGCGCTCTTTCTGCAGTGGAGGGTTTCAGCGGCTACGCGGTGCGGTACTTGAAGCCGGAGTTGACCCAGAACTGGCGGGTAGGGAGGGCTGCGCGCTAACTCGTCCCTGGGGGCTCGGGGGTGGGGCAGGAGAAGCTAACACACGGGTCGGGGAGGGGGAGAGGAGAGGGAGAGAAGGGTCTTCTTGTGCCCAGGGCCAAGATCTCTTGCAAAGGGCTTTGTGTGGGGAGTGGGCGGGAGGGTCTGTGTCCCCTCAGCTTACGGATTCCCCCATCCCTCTGGCCCGCCCCAGTACTGTCTCTACCAAAACCCCAGCCTGGACCGCTATGGACAGAAGCCCCTGCCCTTCGAGTCCCTGTAAGTCACGTGCCCCGGGACCCCATACCTGGAGGAGGGAGGTGGGGTCTTGGCCGCTTTCCCAGCGCACACCTAGTGC